AGGCCTAAAATTACACAAACTTTAGAATTGCTTCACTGTACTATTTTGTCATTCACTGACTCAGCTAATGAAATATTAATTAACTGGCTATTTAAAGCAGCCTACTGAGAATTGTTAGTTCATGGTGAGGCTCCTCTTCAGCTGTTTTCATTTTATTCTCATGTGGGCAATTTCATCTGCTCTATTTATCACCTTTCAGTGGCACTCTGTAAAGAATATGACTGTTCTGCCCATTGCCTGGCCTTACAGGCTTTCCTTTAAAATGTGGGGAGAAACCATTGTTATCTTGGAACTCCTATAATCTGCGTGCCCACAGAAATATGTGGTCAAAGCCGTGGTTTTGCTGCCAGCCTGAGTGGTAGTTGGACTCTCTTGCACCAAGTAGCCTCCTTGTGCCTGATACTGCTGGGTTCAGGGAAAATGCTTCTCTAGGTGGTCTTGTGCAATCAAGGTGTCGAGAAACACTCTCTACTCAAGGGAAATCCTTTCCAGTGAGTTTATACTTATATTCTTGACCCTGGCATGAGTGGTAGGCAGTCTCACTGACATCAATGGCATGATCAGGGCATCTCCCTTGTTTTCCTGATATAAAAACTTGGCTTTCTTTGATGCCTCCGGTTTCGTTAACAACCACAGCCTTATTGTCAGCATAATTAAATGCAAGGCTCATAATTTTCTGGCCAAATCACAAATTTTTCTAATCTTCCTGTTTTGTTCCTTGCTTCAAAACACATCAAAGCAAACAAACAAAAAACCCAAAAGAAACAGCCAGCAATGACTGTTCCACATAACCCGAGTACTGGATTTCCTCCATCAGGTTTAAATGCTGCTTCCCTGAAAGTCTCAGGGAACAGACAAAATGCCAGCAAGTTCTTTGCCATGAATAGCCTTTAGTCCATTGTCCAAAACCCCATGGACCTGGTGTTGACAGTCTGTATTTCTGGTGCCCTTTTACCACCTTTAAGTACTCCTTGCTTTAGCCTCTTCAGCTCTTATCACCAAAATTTCCCACATTTCTCCCTTAAATGAATCCCTCATGCTTTAGAACCCTATGTTAGGTAAACACAGCATCTACCGCACTTTTCTGCTTCCAGTGTTCAATTAGTTTTTCACAGCTGGGCCAAACAAACAAACAAACAAACAAAATAGAGAAAGGACTTATTTTGATTCCATTGTCTCTTGGCTGTGGTTAGGCCAAACATCATAATGGGATCTGAGTAGAACAAAGCTGCTTTCTTCCTGGAAACCAAGAAGCAGAAAGACAGGAAGGATCTAGGGCAAGATGGAGCTCCTAGTGATCTTATTTCTTCCACCTCCTAAAATTTCCAGAACCTCCCCAAATAGCACCCCCAGCTGAGGGCCCTCTCTTCAACATATGAGCCTGCGGAGGATGTTTCATATCTGAACCATAAAATGGACACATGTTTGTTTCTTGTGATGCCTGCGTGACCTCTGCACACTACCAGCAAGAGGGCTGTCATTATATAAGGTCCTTTTTCTTAATACTTTCAGAACCATGAGTCAAAATAACCAATCTGTTTTATTGTGGTGTTGACAACAGAAAGTTAATGAAGCAAGGAATGAGTAGATTGCTCTTTTTTTCATTTGTATTTTTAAAATAAAGAGCCCCCGCATTTTCCAATGTGGCCACATTAGGAAGAGGGACAAAGAAATCCAGGGAACCCCCAACTCCAGCTTCCTCTTTCAAAGTTTATTTTCATTTAATGTATTTGAGTGTTTTACCTATATGTATTTATGTGAACCATGTGCATTAGTGCTCATGAGGGCCAGAGTAGGGCATCAAATCCCCTGGAACTGGAGTTACAGGTGGGTGTGAGCCGTCATGTGGGTGTGGGGGGACTGAACACAGGGCCTCTACAAGAGCAGCCCATGGGTGCTCTCAACTGCTGAATCATCTCACTAGCCTCTTAGTTGTGTTTTTAAAGTTGTCCTAATGTTCTTTCTTTCAAAGTGCATTGTTTTTGAAACTAAACTTAAATCAGCAAGTGGCACCACCAGGATCCATTTGCTAATCAAGACACATAAACACAACATTTTTGATGTGTCGTTTTTTTCTCACCATAGTCATCATTTACCTTTTCACCAATCTGCTATTCTGTAATAGGTCCATTTTTTCATTTTGTCATCTTTGATAATCTGATTTAGGTCACTTCTTAGTTTAGTACAATTATTTCTTACTTGAACTTTCTGTCTTTACTTTTTAGATTTATTTATTTTTTGGTTTTGCTGCACATTTGCCTGTGTACCATGCGTGTGTGTTGTGCCCATAGAGGCCAGAAGAGGGGTTCAGATCTCCTGAACCAGAGTGTGGATGGGTGTAAGCCACGTGTGAGTGTTGGAAACTGAACCCAGGTCCTCTGCAAAAGCAACAAATGCACTAAGCCATCTTTCTATTCCCTTCTGTCTTTATTCTTAACATCTCCATTTCACTGCACAAAGCCATGTGGCAGCTTTTAAGTTTTACATTTTAAAAACTTTTATGTGTTTCAATTAGTTCATTATCTGCATTTCAACTCCCTCTTGTTCAGAAGAGTGCATTTTGATTCACCATAGTAGCTTTAAAAAGCAATGCTTACTTAGTCTTTTCCCTAGAGCAATTAATCAGAATGGGAAAAAGGGAGAGGAGATTGTAGCAGCACTTAATTTTGTTTTTAATGCAGGTAAACAAATGGGCACCAGTATTGAGTAGTACTATTTGAAGCACATACTTCCTTCCATTGGTTGTCAGTCTCAACAGTTTTGATCAGTCAGACATGATGCATAGTCTTTTTTGTGTGGTAATCTTACAAGTATGTTTGTTCTCTTGAACATAGTCATGTATGGGTATGGATCTTGGAGTTGCTGGTAATGCTGCTCAAGGCCCACAAATCCAGCCAGAACTGGAATGCAGGAAGGCAGAAGGGAGGGAACCTAGTTCCTGATTTCCTCTCATTGGCTGATTTAGCTCTGGGATCTGTTCTACCTTTATATTTTATATTATGAGAAAAATAAATGTCCGTTCAGCGCTGAGACTTTAGAGTCTTTCTGACTATTCTAGCCAGTGAGAAGAAATAATAGTGGTAAAATATGCCATACTGTTTTCTAGTGAACACGTTAATGTGTTTAAGCTATTTCTTTCAATGTTAGACTTTATTCTGATGTTTAGGTATCCCTGAAATAGTTGATACAGTTACTGTTTTTGCTTAATACTTACAAGTTTAGGCTGGCGTGGATGGCTCTTGGTTATAAAGCATGCAAATATGAAGACCTGAAATTAGATCCTCAGTACTCAGATTAAAAAGCCAGCATAGCAGCCCCTGTCTGTAACTCCATCCTTGAGTATGGAGGCAGGGGGATCATAGGGAGTTTCTGGGCATCCAGTCTGTCCTAATGGTGAACTCCAGCTTCATCAGTGATAGATCCTGACTCAAAAATAAGAGAGGCAGGGGAGGTCGCTCAGCAGGTAGAGGTGTTTGTTGACAATCTTGACCACCTGAGGTCAGTCACTGGAACTCACATGGTAGAGGGGCAGAACTGACTCCTGAAAGGTGAACTCTTACCTTCACATTTGTGCTGTGGCATGTACATGTGCACCTGTGTAGACACATAGATAAATGTAAAAATAATGCAAAAGATAAAAAGATGCTAAGCACAATAGAGGAGATATCTAATATCTTACTCTGACTTCCACATGAACACACTCAGATGGGTACTTCTGCGTACACACACAGATAGGTACATCCATGCGCGCGCACACACACGCACACACACATGGGTGCTTCTGCATGCACACACAGATAGGTTCGTTCATGTGTACACACACACACACACACACACACACACACGGGTGCTTCTGCATGCACACACAGATAGGTTCGTCCATGTGTACACACACACACACATACACACACACACACACGGGTGCTTCTGCATGCACACACAGATAGGTACGTCCATGTACACACACACACACACACACACACACACACACACACACACACACACAAACACGGGTGCTTCTGCATGCACACACAGATAGGTACGTCCATGTACACACACACACACACAAACACGGGTGCTTCTGCATGCACACACAGATAGGTACGTACATGTACACACACACACACACACACAAACACGGGTGCTTCTGCATGCACACACAATTTTCTAATGGTTTCCCTACAAATTGTGTCATATTATAGTTCTGTAGTTAAGTTATTGGATTTTATTTTTTATCATATACTCATGGAATATCATTGTGATTTCTCATTTTAATTTGTATTATTAATGTTGTTAATTTGTGTTTTATCTATTAGTTTTTACTCATTTAGTAAATTGTTCAGTCATGTCTTTTATGTCATATTTAGTAACTATGGAACATGGGAATAACAATGTCTACATTATTGAATTGATAAGGTTAAACTTAGATATTTTCTAAAATTCTATAAGTAATTGTAAAGTTATATCCTGTCAAATCAAAGGCCTTTCTCCAATTTCTTGAAAAGTTTTTCCATTTGCCTCTTTTTATGACTTCTACACAAAACTGTATTTTAAACCATAGTCAACTTTCTAGCCATATTTCAGTGTATGACTAAAAGACATAGAGAGATAGCATAGACATATATGCATATACACACATATGTACATATATATGCATACATACTTTACTGTGGCAACAATATAAAATAACAATAATGCCTTGATAATAGTCAACAGGAGGTATTTTCAAGTAAAGGTTTCTTATCTTCATATTTGTTTTCTCCTTCAAGTACTCACATGCGGAGTTTTATTCCCAACCAAGTCATTGGTATAAAAAACAATGGCCATTGTAGTAAAAAAGGTTAAAAAACATAAAGCATCAGGTGTAATGGCACACGCCTTTAATACTAGCACTTGGGAGGCAGAGGCAGATGGATCTTTGAGTTCAAGACCAGTCTTAAAGAAAAGAAATAGCATAAAATCAGCCTATTAAAGATGGTTCTATATTATTTTTCTTCCAGAAACATGATCAGGGACAAGTTCTGTTGGATATAGTCTTCAAGCATCTTGACTTGACTGAGCGAGACTATTTTGGTTTACAGTTGGCTGATGATTCCACAGATAACCCAGTAAGTTCAAGCAGTTGCCTTTCATTTCCTTGTAGTTTTTCTGTATTCATTGTATAAAGCCCTTTCTGATTTAATGAGTTTTAGCATTTTTAATTGAATAATTAGATTCACTGCTTTTGTCTGTTCTACTTTTCTTGTTGTTTTGAGGTATCTGAGTCTATTTCTTTTCCATATTTATAGTTATAAGTCAACTTGTAAGTGTAGTACTAGTTTCACTGCGTCTCTGACAATTAAAAAGTTAGGGTAAGGCCTCGTGATCTAAAGAGAGGAAACCTTTAGATCACTAGTTCTCAACCTGTGGGTCATGACCCCTTTGACAAACTTCTATCTCCAGAAATATTTACATTATAATTCATAACACTAGCAAAGTTACTGTTATGAAGTAGCAATGAAAATAGTTTTGTGGTGGGTGTCACCACAGCATGAGTAATTGTATTAAAGGGTTGCAGCAGTGAAAAGGTCGAGAACCACTGCTTTAGGTGTACATGAGTTTACTAAAATGAAACTGGAGTTGTTTGGTGATATTCATGGATATTCTAACAAAAGTCTTAATGTGTTAGTGGAAAATTTTGAAGTAAGAATATCATATAAAGATACTTCTTAAATGAGATACTCCATTTCAGAGCTGTGCAAATCCTCAGTCTTAATCTCCTTAGGTTTCTACCTTCTTTTTAGTCTCTCAGTCATGGTTCTTCTGGTTAGAAACACCAGGTCAGACAAATAGAGGGTAGGATGTGGTGAATCATAGAGATGTTCACTTTGACAATTAAGCATGATACACTGCTCCAAAGAAATATACGTATTGAGAACATAGAAGAAGGATATACTTCATTTTAGCTGAATTCTTTGTAATTTTATGTGGTTAGATGTGATAGAATTGACAAAACATGCTGTCCTTTTGATTAATGGAACAGAGTATTTGGGGGGGGGCTTTTGTTTGTTTTTTCCCCTCTGTTCAAACATAAAGTGTTGGTTATGGAGCCCACACTGGCCTCATACTCAGTCCTCAGCCTCCTGGTGTTGAGATACAGGTGTGTGCTACCACACCTGGTCAAGAGGAGTGTCTTTTGAGAGAAATACTATGCTATTTAAAGAATTAGCAGATTGAAGTCAGGGGTCTCTGAATCAGTGTTTTACTGTCCTATTTATGGGGCTGGAGAGATGGCTCAGCTAGCTTACTCCTCCTGCAGAGGACCAGGATTTGGTTTCCAGCACTCACATGACAGCTCCACAACACCCAGTAACTCTAGTTCTATGGGATTTGATGCCCTCTTCTGGCCTCTATGGGTTCTTACTCACATAGTACACAAATACATAAACGTAAGTTAGATTCCAAATTCTATTATAAGGCTGTTTTAATATAATAGTTATAGAATTTTAAATCTTAAAAGAAGCTTTTCCAGTATAACACTCATATTTTTAGAAGTCTTTATTTGAATCCACACACTTAAAGCCTTAGTTACTTCTGACATTAATAAAACCAAGAACTTGGTTCTCCTAATTCCCTGAACTCATTTTTCATACAGAACTGTTATTTCTACCATTGAACTTTATATTTAAATATTCAGAAAGAGCTATTTAATGCCAGAATGTTTCCAAGAAAGAGACTTAAGAGTTCAATTCTTACATTGTTTCACTGTTAATTGGTGTGTGTGTGTGTGTGTGTGTGTGTGTGTGTGTGTGTGTGTTGCATGCATGTGAATGTGTGGGTATGTAGGACAGAGCAGGAGATATGGGATTGAAAATGGGATGTAAATGAGTCCATATGACCCAAGATAAATGATTAACAGGTATTTATTAGGGAAGAACTTACACAATTAATAGTAAATAACCCCTGCGGTCTTCCTGCTCCTGAAGATCAGTCTCCTGAGTTCCAATTACTACCCAAGAGAGCAAAACAGCCCCTCCTCTTCCTTATAAGGGGTCATGCCTGCACACCTGAAGCCATGCCCCTAGGATGTGGCCACCAATGCAAGTTCACTGGTGAAACAAGATGCCACTACGTGGGATGTCTTACTCTTTCGTTCTCCACCTTGTCTCGTTGTTGCCTCCTCCTACTCCTCCTTCTCCTTTTTTTTAAAAAAAGATTTATTTATTCGTGTATACAGTGTTCTGCCTACATGTATACATACACACCAGAAGGGGGCACCAGATCTCAGTATAGATGTTTGTGAGCCACCATGAGGTTGTTGGAAATAGAACTCGGGACCTCTGGAAGACCAGTCAGTGCTCTCAACCTCTGAGCCATATCGCCAGCATCCTCTTTGCCTTAGTTTAAGATAGGATTTCTCACTGAACTGGAAGCTTACTGTTTAGACTAGGCTGGCTTACCAGCAAGCTTTCAGAATCTACCTGTCTCCATCCTCTAATTGCTGGGGTTACAGGCAGAAACTGTCAGGCTGAATTTTTTATGCAGGTGTTAAGAGTTCAAACTCAGGTCTTCATGCTTGTACAGTAAGCATTCTTATCCACTGAGCCATCTCCTCTGCCCTCCTGATTGTCAATGTGATGTTATCCTAAGGTGTTGAGGGGTAATTAATATATTAAAAGAAAGGGATTCCATTCCTTAAAGAGAAAGGAATAAGGAGTGATATTTATGAAGCATCTGTTGTAGTTAATCAACTGTTTTACATATACTATCTCATTTAGTTCTTACTATGATTAAGAAGTATAAGTAAATTTTTAAGTGAAAAATAAGTGCTTACAAGCTGGGTGGTGATGGTGCACCACCTTTATTCTATTCTCAGCACTCAGGAGGCAGAGGCAGGTGGATCTCTGTGAGTTCAAGGCCAGTCTAGTGTATAAGCTAGTTCCAGGACAGCTAGAGCTACAGAAAAAAACTGTGCCCTGAAAAACCAAAGTAAATAAACAAAACTATCTTATTCCTTTATATAAATCCCAGAGAACTCAATTATGTCACACTCTTGTATGTTTATAAACACTTATTGAAGTCATTTGTTTCATTATTCCTAATGTGCACTGGTAAATCATTACATCATGTAGGCACTTTTATTTTTCCCAGTCTACTCAGTCTTTATTCTTTTTTGTTGTTGTTCATTATCACATAGCAAGGGATCACTAGGATGGTGCTGAATAGCAATGGTAGGGAGGTAACTTGGTCTTCTTCATTTGAAGGAAGTATTGTGGACCTTAGGATTTTTTTAACTACACATAATTAAGCATCGTTTATATAGAATAAAATTTATATCCATTCATAATAAAAAACCTTAAGAAAAAGTACCCTTTCACTATGAAAAAGGATATTTGCTAAACACTGCCTGATAGGCTTTAGGAAGCTGAAAGGTTATTATGCATCCACTGGAATCACTGAATTAAATACTTCTAGTCAGCCTGCTGGCCCAGGTAAGAATTTCAAGGTGGTGCATTCAGCTCCTTGAGAAACTGAGTTAGAGCATAGCTTCAGGGACCTTACAAGGATAGTGGAAAAGTTTAAGGCCAGCCTTGAGACCCTATTTCAAAGTAGAGAAAGGCTTGAGAATATAGTCTTGTGGTAATACATTTGCATAGCATGTATAAAGCCTCTGGTTCAGTCCCCAGAACCACAGCATAGACAGATTGATGATTAATAAATTATTAACAAATTTTGTTAGTAATACAATACAAAAGAAAATTTCTTGTAAACAGTGGTTTGTTTTTATTATTTCAGTATCAAGGATGCCACGGAAGAAGGGTGTGAATACTTTTTGTGTGTGTATGTGGATACAGGTGTGCCACAGCATTTAGAGAGCAACTTGGTAGTAGTTAGTACTCTTTTTACTATTTGGCTCCCAGGTATTTATCTTGGGTGGTCAGGTTTTACCAAGCCATTTTGTTGGTACTCTACTCATTTTTTTAAAGTTTCCAGCTGTTTGTTTTTTGTTGTTGTTGGTAGGATGCTCTTGGGTCTTTTTATACAGGTGTATTTCATCTTTCAGCAAAAATTGGGGTGGCTTGTATATCTCTGCTTGTTTGGACCTTAGCTTTTTTCCACTGATTTTTTTTTTTTTTTTTCCTTTTAGAATTCACCTTCAGTTATTGAAGGTTCTTGCTTCCTAACTGTCTTCTGACATCTCAAGCATGTTGCTTGTCTCATAAACACCTAGAGCTTGCCCTTGGGCTAAAAACTGGAAAAGTGTGAATCTCACCCACTATGATTTTCTGTTTTTCAACTTTGGTTTTCAACCCCAAGAATGGTACTATTTGTTTATCTTTACAGATTACTTTTCCCAGTATAAAATATGTTTTATTTACCTGGATAAACCTATTTTATAATGTTACCTTCCTTCAAATGTCTTGTTTTTCAACTGTTTCTTTATCCACTTTTGATTACTTTTAACATCACATGGTACACCTATGCTGGTATTTACTTACCATTAACAAAATTTTAAGGCTGCCGTAGGAAATGGAATCTTAAAAAAAAAAAAAAAAAAATCAAACCAGAGGAATACCTCTAGAAAGTGGGGAGAAAAAAGAGAATAAAGATATTATTTGAAGAAGTTAATGACATAAGAAGCTCCCCAAATTTGAAGAAACATCTGAGTGTTTAAAAATGGTTGGCAAGCAGAGAATCTTGAAAGAAGTGAGAAAAAAATATCTGAGCATATATAGAGGGTCCTCAACATAGTAGGAGATTTCTTGATAGAATACTTGTAAGCCTGAGGCAATGAAATAATATAGTTAATATACTGGATGGAAACTACAGTGAACTGACCAAATATCTATCCAACAAAGTTACTTCAGATGTCAGGAATTCAAGTATAGCACTTGGAGGCTAAAACGGGAGGATTGGGAGGTAAAGCCTAGCTGGCTACTTAGTAAGTGTGGTAGTTTTAATAGGAAAGGCCCGAATAGACTCAGGTGTTTAACTACTTGAGTGTTTAAACTCAAGTCCACGGGTGTGTGTGTGAGTGTGAGTGTGTGTGTGGCACTATTAGGAGGTGTAGCCTTGTTGGAGTAGGCGTGGCTTTGTGGAGGAAGTGAGTCTCTAGGGGGTGGACTTTGAGGTCTCAGAAGCTCAAACCACTTCTCTGCTTGCTGGCCCAGATCAAGGTGTAGAACTATCAGCCGTTTTGCCACCGCCATGCTCCCTGACATGACGATGATAGACTGAACCTCTGAACTATAAGTCCCAATGAAACGCTCTCCTTTATAAGAATTGCCATGGCCATGGAGTCTCTTCACAGCAATAAAACCCTAACTAAGACAGATTCTGTCTCACAAAACAAAATAGGTGGAAGTTAAGGTATTCTCAGATAAATCATAGTTGAGGGAGTACATTACCACTAGATTTACCTTAACTGCTTAAGGTATATCCTTCAAGTTGAAATGGAAAAATACTAGACAGTATAGCGGAGCTTTACTAAAAGTTTCCCACTTTTGTATTGCTGTGACAAGACACTGAAGAAAATAATTGTTTCAGCTTACAATTCATGCGGTGTGAGTTCATCATGATATGGAAGACCTATAGAGTAGAGCAGTTCACATCTTCGTGGACCAGTTTATACTAGATAAACATGGACACTCAATGTCACAATATAGTGGCAGCTTATTAATCCTTCACCAACTATTGAGAGTCAAACTATATATTTGGTCTTTTCTCTGAAGGTAGAAAAATATTCTCAGAAAATTTTATAGAGAATTTCAAATAAAAATAAGTATTTGACAAATAGATGCCAACATTTGAAGGAAGTCAACACTGTGAAATAGATTTATCCAAGTGAATAAACCATATTTTGTATTGGGAAGAGTGATCTGTAAAGATATACAAGTAGTACCAGTCTTGGTTAAGTAGATGAGTTGAGTTTTTATGTATGTATACATAGAGCAGGGCTTGTCACATTAATAAGTATTTAATAACTACTAAAATAAAGTATCTTTTGGGCTGGGGGACTGCTTCAGTTAGTTAAGTGCTTGCCATGCCTAATGAGGACTAGAGTTTGGTATTACAGAAACCGTATGAAAAGCTGAGCACAGCAGCACATGCTTATAATCCCAACAGCAAGGAAGCAGAAACATGAAGAGCCTGCAACTTACTGGCCTGGTTTCAAAAAATAAAATGGAGGGTCCGCAAGATGGCTCAGTGGGTAAAGGTGCTTACTGCCCTACCTTACTGCTGTACCTGAGGACCCAAGTCTGATCCCTGGGACCCATGTGGTAGGAAGAGAGAACTGACTCTTGCAAGCAGTCCTTTGATCTCCATGTGCACACACAGTGGATTTATGTGCCCCCAAAAACATGTAATAATTTTTTAAAGTAAGGCATTGAATGATTGAGGAAGACACCCAGCATTGGTTTCTGCCTTCCGCATGCACCCAAAGAGACTCCAATGTGGCATGATTAGGGAAGGCATACCATTTATACAAGAAAAAACAATGAACAATTTTGGAAATTATAGTTACCATAGTTAAAAAAAAACAAACTAGCACTCACTAGCTAAGATACAGTAGATACTGTGGGAAACTAATGCTTTCAATATAGCAACAATAATATCAAATATAATCAGACAATCATATATCTTTTTCTAGTGGAACTTCTTCCAGAAAATGAGCATGTATTTGCCAAACAGAATTTATAATACCCAAGGCTTGAAAACAATTCCATACAAAAAAGTTTGTGCTTAGATGTTCATAGCACTATTACTCAAAAGAGCAGAATATCCTATCCACCCAGAAGTGGCACATCTATGGATTGAAATATTAATTGGCAGTAAAAAGCAGTTTGTGTTGCTTAGTTTTAGTTATCAATCAAATACAATCTAGAATCACCTGGTAAAGAAGTCCCAATGAGTGACTGTCTAAGTTGTCCTGTGGGTGTGTCTGTGTGAGGTTTTATTGAGTATGTTAATTGATATGGGAAAGAAAAAACCTAAAAGTAGGTGGCATCATTCCCTGAGTCTGAGTCTTAGACTGTACTAAAAAGAGAAAGTGAGCAAAGTGCAAACATGTATGCATTATTTTATTGCACTCTGCTCTTGACCATGGCTGTGACATAAATGGCTAGCTGCTTCAAACTCCTGCAGCTGTGACGGCCATTCTAGAGTGGACCAGGAACTGTGAGCTAAATCAAACCTTTTCTCCTTTAAGTTGCTCTTGTCAGGGTATTTGTATCACACATTTAGAAATGAAACTAAGACACAATGATGTAGCATTGTTCATTCATTAGGGTGGTTCTAATTTTAAAGTGTATGTTGTTGGGTACAGAGGTGTGGTGGCATAGCACTTTAGAGGCTCTGGCTGGAGGTTTATAAATTCAGAACCAACACTAACTCTAATAACCGAAGCAAAGTTTCAAAACCAGAGCCCAATCATCATACATTCATTTTGAATTCTTTAATTATGATCAAGATTGACTATTTTTATATATTTAAATGCATTTATTCCCTAGTTGTGAATTTACTGTCTGTCCATTGCCTTTTTTTTTTTTTTTTTTTCCTACTAATATTGGTCTTTTTTCTTATTGATGTATAAGATTCTTTGTGGGTTGATTTGTTGGACTTTTTTTGTTTCTTTTTGTTTTTCTACATTTAACAAATTGTGTGTGTGGTGGTGGTGGCATGCACCTGTGCCACATCCCATGTGTGGAGGCCAGAGGGCAACTTTTGAGAATCAAGTCTTCCTTCACAACATGAGTTTAGGGATTAAATTTGTGACATCAGACGTGGGTGCAAGTGCCATTTTCACTGAGCCATCTCGACAGCCTATTCCTAGTTTTTTGTTTGTGTTTCTTGATTTAATGATCTATTGTGAATGCTGTCATTTAACAGCCCAGTACCACATGTTATCAGTGTTCACCTTCATGGTTTTAATTAAGAACCTAAGTCCTGTCTTACTGATGTCACTCATAAGCACCATTAAGTTTCTCAATGCTTATTATAACACACATTATTTCTAAGCTTTGTCAGCTTTGCACATTTATTTAAGTATTTGTGTTTCTTATGTCAGAACATTTTAGTTCGAAGGAGAACCGAACAAGGAAATCACGATTTGGGTAGATTAATCTTACATTTAGATAATCATTAAAGTAAATGTAGTTTATGACTGTGCTAGTTCGTTGTGATATAACACTCTGAGCCAAAGTAACTCAGTGACAAAGGGTTTTATTTCATCTTATGCAAGGAACATCAAGGTTGGAGCCTGAACAGAACCCTGAAGGAGCTTTGTTTACTGGCTTGCTCCCAGGCTCGTGCTGGACTGCTTTCTAATGCAGCCCAGGTTCACCTGCCTAGGGATGGTACCCACCTTGTACATTATTAGCAATCACAAAACAATATTGCTTCAAATTTAATTTTTTTTAACCTAACCCTTTTCCAAAATACAGTCTTCAAATGGAATTGATGTACAATAACCGATATGCTAGTTTCTCAGGGAAAAGAGAAATCTCTGTTCTTTGTTTTTCAGAGGTGGCTGGATCCAAACAAACCAATAAGGAAGCAGCTAAAGAGTAAGCCTACCATTTACTTGGTGTTTTGCGAATATGCCTTATAAAGATGATGGACTAATATAATCTGATTAATTAGAGCTGTTTTTGTTAACTTTAGGAGGATCTCCTTACAGTTTGAACTTTAGAGTCAAATTCTTTGTAAGTGACCCCAACAAGTTACAAGAAGAGTATACAAGGTGGGTTTATGGAACTGTTTCTGTTGAAAACGTTGGCAAAGATCTAATGGGAAAAAGTGAAATTAACTAGGCAAAAATAAATCACCATGCTGAAAACTTGGACTTCTAATTTAACACACCGAAAAGGTTATAAATAGTCCAAAGGTAACTGTTTCCTCCCTGTTTTGATGACTCGGGAGCTTCCAGGAATTGGACACCCAGAGCCACCTTATCCAGCTACAAACAGCTGAAATTCAATGAGAAAATGAGGTGGCATTGGAATATATCCAAGGTATAAGAGTGTCTGGTGTATATGTTTTTCATGCATAAGCATATTCTAGGTTTTTTTCTTTCTTTTTATGGAGAACATAAAATTCCATAATAAATATGGGGAGAGAGACCAAAGGAAATACACTGGACTTTATAAGGGATGTTGCAGGGATAAGGCACGTTGGGCCTCTGTGTGCCCACCTGACTGCCTACTCTCAGCACATCGTCTTACTTGCGGAAGTACTCAAGAATGATCTGTAGGGGCCTTTCAGCCATGTACTTGAGAATTAGGTAAAATGTTTAGGGTAGAAGTAAAAGAAGTAACGACAGTCATACGGGAAGCTGAGTGACAGATAATCAATCCTATGCGTTTGGTGAAATGCAGAATTAATGATTTAAGTGAGAGCAGTTTGAATACTGTATCTTGTTTACACTTGTCATTATAAGAATGTAGGTGAGTGACATCACAATTACTTTAGTGGTGTGCTAGAATGGAGCCACAGGAGAATACAGCTGTTGAATTAGTCCACAGTGCCATTCCTCAGATTTCTGTGGAGTTTTCAATACTAAACCAAGCTTTAAAAAAAAGGTCATAGTTTGTAGGAGTCTTATCTGTTTGCTGATGTTGCTTTTATGATAATGAGAAAACACTGGAGTACAGGTGCTACATTAGACAGTTGGAATATCTGCAATAGTAATAGAATCCAGGCTAGTTTTTCTTGAAAAACAAAGTTGTTTAATTTACCATTGTAGCTCTTAGTTTTTGTTGTTGGTTTTTCTCCCTTTAAAACTATACTAAATCTAGCAAATGTGTTGTTGATGTTAAATATTTAAAATAAACTTTTATCGTTATAAATAATTATCTGGATACTAAAGTCCAAGGAAATTAGTCAGACTTAATGAACAATTTTAATTATAAAACAATATAACTATTCTAAGGTGAAAGTTTTAGGTAATCAGACATCAATAATTTTAAATTAGATTACTAGCATTTTTAATGTGTGTGAATGGTAATATAAACAATGAAAATGCTGTCATTTATATTGTTATTTCTATTAATGCTTTGATTAAATACTTGGCAAGAAGCAACTTAAGGGAAAGAGGCTCTTTTTGACTTGCAGTTTATGATTAATTACAGCCCATCATGACAGGGTGGGCATGGCATCAGGAGCATGAAGTAGCTCATGTTACTATGTCAGAAAGCAAGGAGAGAACTGGAAGTAGGCTGGGTTATCAAACCTCAAGGCTTGCATCCTCTGACTCACTTCCTCTAGCAGGGCTCTACCTCTTTAAGGCTCCACAGCTTTCTACAACAGCACTACCAGCTGGGTACCAAGTGTTCAAATTCCTGAGCCTGTGTGGATATTTCACATTCAAACAATAGCAGGGTTTAATATTTTATTCACATGGAAAACTGAATTTCCTCTTAGAACCTAAATGTGTGTTAATAGCATGTAATGGAAACAAAGAGGCTGTGTTTCATTGATAATTGAGTCACAACTTGGAGAGTAAAATTGTGTAAGCAGTTGAGAAATAACTTGTGCTCAAGCTATCAGTGTAGGAGATTATCTGTTTTCATTAGAAATAATGTTTAATTTCAAAGCTCTTTATGCCTTATAAGTGATGGGGGATGTCCTTCTCTATATGTTTCTCTTATTGGTTGATGAATAAAACACTATTTGGTCAATGAGTCAGGAAGATAAGCATGTTTAAGAGATGAGGAAAATTCTGGGAAAGATAGGCAGGAGCCCACCAGAGTTATGATGCTGCTGAAGGAATAGCACCATGCTCGGCATTACCGGGTAAGCCACAGCCTCATGGCAATACATAGATTGATAGAAATGGGTTAATAATTAAGACAGAGCTAGCCAGTAAGAAGCCCTAGTCATTGTCAGCAGTATTATAATTAATATGTCTCTGAGTGTTCATTTGGGGCAAGGCGGCTTCAGAACTGGGCGGGAAATCCCATAACATATAAGTATTGCTATTGGTAAATTGTGGTACAGACTACACTTTATTTAATCATTATAACTATACAAAAGTGATTCTCTACCCTGATTAGTAATTTATAGTCATTTGGAAGAGCTTTAAGCCACGGTAATTGTATATATCCCTAGATATTCTGTTGCAGTGTGACTCAGATGGCACCTGAGTCTTTAAAGACATGTGTCGTTCCTCATTCTAGTATTATAGCAAGGGAGCCAGGGCTAAGAAATACTTAGTGTGGGGCTGAGGAGGATGACTCAGTGTTCAAGCACCTGCTGTTCTTGCAGAGTACCCCACCTTGTTCTCAGCACCGTGTCAGGTGTCTCACAACTGCCTGCAACCCCTCTTCTAGGGGATCGAGAGTACTCTTCTGGCTTCTGTGGGCACATGTCCTCATGCACACATACCCACACACTGGTATACATACATACAGCAATGGTTTGCAGTTTTGTTTTTATAAGTTTTCTGTGTGCGCAAATATGTTTGTCTCTTTGTCTGCATATGTTTCCTGAGCTTTTCAGCTCTTTTCTTTTGTGTGTTTGTTTTGTCCTATTCTGGTTTATGTGTTTATTTTATGTTATATTTATTGTTGTTATTATCTAGATGCCTTTTTTCTAAATAGAGAGAAAGTGTATGTACTTGAGTGCATGGGGAAGAGGATCTGGGAGGAGTTTCGGGGATGGGAAAGTATAATCAGAATATAGTGTATGAAAAAAATCTATTTTCAGAAAAACGAGAGAAATATGTTAGTGTGATGGTCTTGATTAGTATCAGGTATCCCCTTAGCTACAGCTACTCATGCTTCAGGAGTAGTTTCAATTTCATGGAAAAAAAAAAAAAAAAAAAAAAAAAAAAGGAAGTTTGCTGTATTCCTTGCTTTGAGATAACATTCTGAGTTAGTGGGAAGGAAAACAGTGGCTTCAAAGTCTTCCATCATGTTAAATGTACTTCAATATTGGCAAGTACCAACATCATTAGAATTGAATTTTTAAAACTCCTAATGCATACACTCCTGTCAAATGATCTTCTTTCCCTTTACAAATGTAGGAACTAAGGCCTGCCCAAATTTTAGTAATTTGTCTCAAACAATAGGCTGCTTTAGAACTTGAATTCCTGTTTTTACTCTAATAATTAAATGTGTATTTAAATGATCTTTGATAATTTTAAGCATTATTTGGACTTTTACAATTCTATCAAGGGTTTATGTTGCCTTTAAATCACAGCTATAAAACTGGTTTTGTACCAAGGATCATTAAGTTTTCTTTCTTTTTAGTGATATTAGTCCTTATACATGGCAAGCATGTGCTCTGCCACTGACTCCTGCCCTCCGCCCCATCTTAACTTTTGATTATGAAACCAAATAGATCTGATAAAATTGTACTGTGTTGAATTAAGTAAATACTGTTAATGTTTTGAATTTTGACTTTTTAAAAGTTGAAAGAAGCCCTTAAACTCCCTGTTTAAGGTTTGAAATCATGAAATGTGTTTTTATGTCAATTCTATTCCGCACAGTTGATTTTTGTCCAGATATTGACTAGCCTATCCACTATCAGGGACGGGACAGTGCCATTTTGTGAACAACCCCAGCAGCGTGTTACAGCATACTGCTGTTCATGTTCCACTCTAATAGTAGGAGAATTTGAGTAATTTTCTGATAAAAGAGCATTCTTCACTCAGTGAAAGTGGACATTTGCTCTTCCACGGTAGTTTTGAGAACAAAATCATCTGCATGTAGGCTTTTTGTTGTAATTTAAGGAAAGCAGTGCTCGAAGGAAAGACACCACGCGGCAGGGTTCAAGCAGAGGGAGAGGGATCATAAAAAGGGGAAAGGGGAGCGGGAAAGGGAGAGGAGCAGCAGGAGCGAGGAAAAAAGGGGCAGAGAGAGAAAGAGAAAGGGGGGGAGAGAGAGAGAGAGAGAAGAGGAAGAGAGGAGGGCAGGGCCTTTTTAACAGGGAACATAGTGAATGTGCACAGGTGGTGCTCTTAGTGGCTGCAGCTGAGGGCGTGTCCTGTCAGAACCCCAAGGACAGGCCAGCAAAGATGCTCAATATTAACATATCAGTGATGCTTAAGTTGTCTGTGCTTCTAGTTCTTCTTGGATGCAATCCTCACTCTGTTGCTCCCAAGTCTCCTCCTCAGCCCCAGAAATCTGAGAAGTCTTGAGTAGTTTTATAATATATACAAGACATTCAAAATACAAAATTCCATATATTAATGAGTTTTAAAGACTTGTAGTTAATTCACAAAAGCCTATTTCTGGTGGTTTTTACCAATGTGTACATATACTGAGTTTATATGTGCTAATATGTAATTACAAAAGGAAGTATTTAGTTAATTTTGTTAATGTAAGCATAGAGTATATAGGTACTCAAATTGATTAATCTAGTAAATATCTTCTTTTTTTTAAGGTATCAATATTTTTTGCAAATTAAGCAAGACATTCTTACTGGAAGGTGAGCTATTTTTAAAATTTTTTTTTTACTAGTATAAAAATACTTTAAGTTCTGTATTAAGTAACTCATGATTGATTGCTGTAACAAATTATAAAATAGTTATATGTAGTATTTGTTCCTTTTATCAGACTTTTTAGAGAGACAGTCTATTTTTATTGTTTCACACATTGTCTTATAATGTAGCCTAGGTTGGCCTCAGACTGGCAGTCATCTCAAACTCATGAGTGTTGGGATCGTAGATATATGCCACAAAGCCCAGCTTAAGTAATTTAATGGTGGTTAAAATTAATGCATAGAGAAACTTCCAGTATCAGTAGTATAATGTAAACTACAGTACATTTGAAATTATATTTATCCTTGTTTGTGTATTTTCTCTTTTGTCTTTCTAGATTGCCCTGTCCTTGTAATACTGCTGCCCTTTTAGCTTCATTTGCTGTTCAGTGTAAGTTTCAGCTTACTTTTAAGTCAAGTAGCATAGGGTTTTGTAGCCTGTATTGATAATACGTTGCCAATAGGACAGGAGTTCTTCAGATGTGTAGAATGTAGGAAGTACTGGGGAAATGCAGCAGAATGTCTGGTTGCTTAGCAATTACTTTGATTCTTGAAATTTTTTATGATCTTGAGACCCAAAAGAATACGTTATTGTAACTTGTTTAATGTGGTTACATTAGAAGCATAAATATATACAAATTAACCACATTGCTGATTTGAGTATAATTAAAATATTTATTAAACATGATATTTTCTTTTCTTATTAGCTGAACTTGGAGACTACAATCAGTCAGAAAACTTGCCAGGCTACCTCTCAGATTATTCTTTCATTCCTAATCAACCTCAAGATTTTGAAAAAGAAATTGTGAAGTTACATCAGCAACACATGTAAGCGTTTATTTAATTTTCTGTTTATTTGATAAGCTTTATTGGCAAACTTTCTAGAAAGAAAAATGTTTTACATCATTCTTAATTTTATTATTGTGTTTATTTAATATAGAAATAACTACTATATAATATTATAAAGAAATATGGTGTAGATGATTTATACTGAAAGCATTTCATTGCTTATTTCACAAATATATGAGCCTTGCTTTTGTTTCTTTAACAGTCATAAATTATATTTAAACAGTTTATTTGCTTTTATGTAACATTGTCTGTTGTTTAAGAAAGAATTTTAGGTGGCTGGAGAGATGGCTCAGTGGCAAAGAGTGCTTGTTGCTCTTACAAAGGACCCAAGTTTAGTTCCCAGCACCCAGATCACGTGACTCACAACTGCCTGTTAACTCCAGCTCCAAAGACACTTGATGCCCTCTTTGGCCTTTATGGATAGCCATAGTCACATGCACACAGCCACCCATAAGTACACATACCACATTACTTGTACTTAAAATCAAAATAAAACTTTAATTAAAAAAAAGTTTAGAGCAATGTAGTTATAGTATAAGCAGAGCAATTAATTGACTTGGTAATTTTCTAAGTTTTTCATTTTTTATTTAAATTTGAAACAAGGTAGTTTTACACGTCAATCCCAGTTCCCTCACCCTCCCATCCTCCTCTATCACCTCCACCAAACCCCAGCCCATCCCCTTATGCTCCCCAGGGAGGGTAAGGTCTTCCATAGGGGAGTCTTCAAAGTCTGTCATATCATTTGGGGCAGGGCCCAGACCCTCCCCCATGTGTCTAGGCTGAGAAAGTATCCCTCTATGTGGAATGGATTCCAAAGTCCATTCGTATACTAGGGATAAATACTGATCCATTACCAGAGGCCCCATAGACTGCCCAGTCTCCTAACTAACACCCAGTTTCAGAGGGGTCTAGATCAGTCCTTGCTGGTTTCCTAGCTGCAAGACTGTGGTGCATGTGCTCCCCCTTGTTCAGGTCAGCTGATTCTGTGGGTTTCTCCAGCCTGGTCTTGGCCCCTTTGCTCATCACTCCTCCCTCTCTGAAACTGGATTCCAGGAGTTCGGCTGTGTTTAGCTGTGGGTGTCTGCTTCTGTTCCCATCAGCTACAGGATAAAGGCTCTAGGATGGCATATAAAGTAGTCATCAATCTCATTATCAGGGAAGAGCCTCTCCACTCTTGCTTAGATTGTTAGTTGGGGTCATCCTTGTAGATCTCTGGGCATTTCCATAATGCCAGATTTCTCCTTAAATCTATAATGGCTCCCTCTATTATGGTATCTCTTTTCTAGTTCTCCTCTATTCTTTCCCTGTCTCAGTTGTCCTATTCCATGTTCTCCTCTCCCCTCCTCTTCTCCCCTCCTCTTTCTCCTAACTCCCTCTTCCCTCCCTCCATGCTCCCAATTTGCTCCAGAGATCTTGTCCCTTTCCCCTTCTCCAGGGGACCATGCATGTCTCTCTTAGCGTCCTCCTTGTTTCCTAGCTTGTTTCTGGCGGTGTGAATTGTAGGCTGGTAATCTTTTGCTCTGTGTCTAAAATCCATATATAAGTGAGTATATACCATGTTTGTCTTTTTGTGACTGGGTTACCTCACTCAGGATGGTTTCTTCTAGTTCCATCCATTTCTCTGTGAATTTCAGGATTCCATTGCATTTTTCTGCTGAGTAGTACTCCATTGTGTAAATGTACCATGTTTTTTCCATCCATTCTTCAGTTGAGGTCCATCTAGGTTGCTTCCATGTTCTGGCTATTGCAAATAATGCTGCTATAAACATAATTGAGCAGATGTCCTTGTTATATGAATGTGCATCTTTTCGGTATATGTTTAAGAGTGGAAAATACTGGATCTTGAGGTAGACTAATTTCCATTTTCCTGAGGAACCGCCATACTGATTTCCAAAGTGGCTGTATGAGTTTGCACTCCCACCAGAAGTGGAGGAATGTGCCCCTTTCTCCACATCCTCTCCAGCATAAAGTGTCTTTGTTGTTTTTTATTTTAGCCATTCTGACAGGAGTAAGATGGTAGGTAGCTCAGAGTTATTTTGATTTGCATTTCCCTGATGGCTAAGGATGTTGAGCACATTCTTAAGTGTCCTTTAGCTATTTTAGATTCCTCCATTAAGAATTCTCTATTTAGTTCTGTATCCAATTTTTTAATTGGATTATTTAGTGTTTTGGTAACTAGCTTCTTGAGTTCTTTGTATATATTTTGGAAATCAGCCTTCTGTCGGATATGGGGTTGATGAAGATCTTTTCCCACTCTGTGGGATGCCGTTTGGTCTTGTCAACTGTACCCTTTGCCTTACAGAAGTTTCAGGAGGTCCCATTTATTGTCGATCTCAGTGTCTGTGCTACTGGTGTTATGTTCAGGAAGCCATCTCTTATACCGATTTATTCAAGGGTACCTCCCACTGTCTTTTCTAAGAAGTTCGGTATGGCTGGGTTTATGTTGAGATCTTTGTTCCGTTTAGTCTTAAGTTGGTGCATAGTGATAGATATGGATCTATCTCCAGTCTTCTGCATACTGTTATGCCAGCACCATTTGCTGAAGATGCTTTCTTTTTTCCATTGTATAAATTTAGCTTCTTTGTCAAAAAAAATCAGGTGTTTGTAGGTGTGTGGGTTAATATCAGGGTTTTCAATTTGATTCTATCGGTCTGTCTGTTTTTGTGCTAATACCAAGCTGTTTTCAGGATTATAGCACTATAATAGAGTTTGAAGTCAGGGATGGTGATGCCCTTGGAAGTTCCTTTATTGTACAGGGTAGTTTTGGCTATCCTGAGTCTCCCCCCCCCCACCATGTAAAGTTGAAGATTGTTCTTAAGAATTGTTTTACCAGAAATTCAAAGAACATACTATAGAAGTGAAAGGGTCGTTGCCAGACTCTTTTTATGAGGCTACAATTACCCTGGTACCCAAGCCACACAAAGACTCAACTAAGAAAGAGAACTATAGACTAATATCCCTCATGAACATATATTAGATGTTTCAGGGGAAAATAATATTTTATAGGATGTGAAATTATCTGAAATCCATTGTTCATAAATGAACACTCATGTGAACAGGCATCCTCATGTATTTTTATGTTGGATGTGGCTTGCTTTTACATGATAAAGTACTTGCTACAAAGGCAGTTTATCTAGAAGGCTTAAAAATACTGTTTAGTCCTTTCTAGTAAAGGCCTTTTGGGTTTGGATCCTCTGTAGACTAAATGACTTGAGGATTTTAACTGAGTTGTCTATGTGGTGAGTGTGCTGTTTCCTCTAAAAGCCATCCCTTTAATAGTGAAATTTTTTCATATAGCCTATGTGAGTAAATGATTTGAAAACAAATTGGAATTTTAAAGTTTACCTACTCAAAGTCCTTTAAATAAGGAAAGGGCTTGTACACAGAGAATCTGAAAACATGTAAAGGCATCAAGGTTGCTCTAAACTCATCTTGATACTTGTATTTGTGTATGCTGTGACAGTGTTGCATGTTGAAGTGCCCTGTAGGTTTTACATGTGGTTATGGTATATAAACTGTGTTGTAAGAAATGTTTGAGAGTTGTCTTGAAGTTAAGTGGCTATGTTAAGAGCTGTAGGATCAGTTAGAGGTTTTAAAACTTGCTCTGTTTTTTTTTTTTTTCTCTTTTGATCTGTAATATTTCCCTTTGTTTCTTGCTAATTGCCTCTGTGCTTTAAAAATAGTTTTACTTAAATATTTTATCATTCTCCTCCTTCCCTTTTCTCCTCTAATCCCTCCAGTGCTCTACCGACTCCCTCTGAAATCGATACTTTTCTTTGTTATGGTTATATATTTAGTATATAAATGTAACACTGAAATCGATACTTTTCTTTGTTATGGTTATATATTTAGTATATAAATGTAACACAATATATACTTACATATGCATAAATATATGAATACAGCTTACTGAGGGATCATTTCGTATTGGATCAGCAATTAGAGGGTTCATCCCTGGAAAAGACTAATTTCAACTCTCTCAGCAGGCATTTGTCTGTGGTTGGGATCTCATGAGATTTCCCTTTCCCTGTTAGCATGTCTGTGGGTACCACCACCGTTAGGTCTTGATTAAGCAGGTATAATCTCAAGGTATCATGGGTGAAGCTTTTGTATTGTTTCTGAAAGACAGAATCTCAGAGCAGCCTTCCTGGTTTGATGTCTCTTGTAGACGTTGCTGCCTTTTCCTCAGTGTTCTCCGAGCCTCGGGTTCAGGAGTTGTATTGTAGATGTATCTACTGGGGCAAGACTGCCCATGACCCCTTGCTCTTCTGCATTGTGACCTGTTAGGAGTTTTTTATAATTGGTTCCATTTACTGTAAAGAGAAGCTTGTTTGATGAAGAAATGAGAGTTATACTTAACTGTGGATACCAGGGAAAGTTTAAGGTTGTAACGAGGAATTATACTGCTCTAGTAAAAGGGTGGTGGTAGATTCTCTTTAAAGTCTATGACCTCATGAGCCCCAGGACTTACTGTATTCTTACAGTGTTGGAAAATAAGAAAGTAATCTGGAAAAAGTATGCCCTTGGACTAAGTTAGATGTTACCATATAAAACTAAAAGGAATAATTCTGCTTGGTGGTTAGTTAGACTCTCCATTTCTTCATATAATCTTTTTGTAATTGGCAAGTTTTACTATGGATCTAGTTTTTGACCTGATATTTTCTTTACAGTGGCTTATCTCCTGCAGAAGCAGAATTTAATTACCTAAACACAGCACGTACCTTAGAACTCTACGGAGTTGAATTCCACTATGCAAGGGTAAGTAATGAAAAATTACTTAGATATTGAGTTAGGCTTCATTCCTTAGTATCAAAGATTTTAAAACCTTTCTATGAGTGTACAAGGCTGGGGTGATTGAACCAGGATCTCATATGTGTTGAGCGAGTACTCTTATACTTAGCCATACAAACCCAACTCATCAAAAATTTAATTCCTTGAGAGAACTAGGTAACAGATAATTTGTGTTTGCTGTTGACATAGTTACACTAAAAATTTCCTCTCAGTATAAACATTTTCACAATAGCATAAGTACAAAGTGGGTGGAAATTGATTGTCCTTGTTTTCTTCTCCGTGGTTGTTTATGTTGCACGTTGGTGGTACATGCCTTTAATCCCAGCACTCGGGAGGTAGAGGCAGCCATATCTCTGTAAGTTCGAGGCCAGCCTGGTCTACAGAACTAGTTCCAGGACAGCCTCCAAGCAACACAGAGACACCCTGTCTCAATAAATAAATAAATAAATAAATAAATAAATAAATAAATAAATAAAATTCAGAAACAAACAAAACTGTAAGAGACAATAGTTTTAGAATATTTTTTTATGAACAAAAGTTTGCTTTAGGAAAGTACTTTTGCATGAATCTTTGATAATCATGATCACTCAAGATGCTGCCATGTCACTGAACCTTTCATTCTTGTCCTTAATGTTTCCAACATTGAGCTGTCTTATGGTTGATTTTTATTTGTAAAACCCCAAATGAAGAATATCAATGTGCCATGTTTGTGTCTCTTTAAGAAATAAGCAGTGTAAATATTAAGAATATAATCCAGTGAAATTAAATGGTTACAGTAGCTGCTGAGAAAGATATCCAGCCCTATTGTGGCCATTAGTGTTCTCTGTATTTCAGGGTTTTGCAGGCAGGCCTTTGTTAGCAGGGACTTAGTTGGTTCAGCTAGTTGAAGGCAATAGTCTGCCCAGCAGTGGCTAGCACAGGGCTGGGGCTGGGAGGGTGGGGAAGAGCAAGAAATGTCTGCAGCACTGGAAGGACAGCAATTGCTGTGGCCGTCAGCATGTGTGGCCTACAAGCTAGAGCCCATTCATGCATGTTCTCATGCTTACACTGGGCAGTGCCACCACTGTGTAATTGTGTGTGTGTGAAACAGCTTTCCTTTCAGACACTGTTACCCCTTCCCTGTATTTGTGAGTGGCTGTCCATCATATGTAACTGTATTCCTTTTTGTGAGTTATCAAGATTTAAATTCCTTTGAAGTACCTAAAGTACAATTATTTTCAATAGAAATATAGTCATTAATTGAGTCAGCAGTGGAGTTTTAATTCCCTTAGACACATCCTTGAGCCTAATTAGGCTAGTATTAGCCCAGAAGGGGAGTAAGAGCCATGGGTTTTCTTAGGTGAATTATTTTGAACTTGCCTCAAACACAGACACATGCACGTGCAGTGTCCACTGTGGAAGCACTCAGTTCTGTCCTTCACAGTGCTTTGGTCTTTCAGGGTCTCACCCATCAGGTTTAGGCGATGAGCTCTACTTCCTATGTTTCACAGATCCTGTATCTGTCTCCTTTAAAAAGACCCAATGGCTTGGTTTCCTCAAATGATTGGTACCTAGTAATTGTTTAAGTGTCTCTTGAACTTTTTGTTTTTGTTTTTGTTTTTGTTTTTTTTTTCATGCTGTTATTACTCTGCTTCTTTTGGGTGGGTGGTTGGGGTTTTGAGACAGGGTTTCTCTATATAAAGCCCTAGCTGTCCTAGAACTAACTGTAGACCAGGCTGGCCTCAAACTCACGCAGATCTGTCTGCCTCTGCCTCCCGAATGCTGGGATTAAAGGTGTGTGCCACCATCGCCCAGCTTCACTCTGCTTCTTGTTTGGGGCTTATTATTTTTGAGCTTAGGCTTGTTACAGCTAAATTTTGCTTTTTATTACAGGAAAGTTTACAACTGATGGAACTATTTTTTGATTAGCTTATGCTTTAAAATGGCCAGAAAAGGGAGTTTTACTCCTTTGCTGTTTTAGAAATGATGTTTTTTTTCCCTCGTGCAAGAGATTTATTGGGGGAGAACAAAAGGCTCTGAGTGGGCTATGAGAGAGACAGATGGATAAGAGCAAGAGAGTAAAAGCAAGGGAACAGAAAGCTCTAAGTGATTTTTGTATCTGTGAGATTCTTGACAATTAAATGCGAAGAATATTAAAAAAGAATATTTAAAAAATGAATGCAAATGTAGAATGTCAGGTTAAAGAGATTTAAATTTTAAATGATTAGCTATTTAGTGACATGTTTTTGTCCAAACCAAATAAAACAAAAACTGTCCCACATAGTGTTTTATCATTTGAGCACTTGGGAACTTGAGGCAAGACACTCATCCCAGGCCAACCTAATTACATGGCAATACGATATCTCTCTTAAAAAAAAAAAAAAAAAAAAAAAAAAAAAAAGGATGTTTTAAAAAGCCTATGGAAGGCATTATTATTGAATATGAAGACCTCAAAAAAAAAAAAAATCGATCATTCAGTAAGTATAAAGGGAATTTTCCAAGAAGAGGACTATAGAGGAAAACTTAAGTTTTAATTAGGTATCATCAGCAAAAGTCCTTTTGAAATAACAAGCAAGGGGAAATGTTTGCTCTCTGCTTTCAAGTGAAGCAAGTTCCAAGATTCCAATACTTTTAAGCCATCATTGTGGTGGGGTATTCTGTGCTTCCCACAATGTTCACTCTCAGCATTATTTAGTGAATAAAACATTATTCCTGTCCTCATGAAATTCACAGGATAGTTGAGTGGGCAGGGAAGAAAAGCCAACCAATCCATGGGTCTTGTTTTAACAGCTACATCCATGAGACTGAGGGAGAAAGTACAGGATGCTGTGGGATTGTGTGATGGCAGCATGTAAACTGTAAACTAGCCCAGCGGTGGCTCTAGTGGTATATTCACTTATGCTGGGAGAAGGGAGTGTGCCTAGAGCGTGATTTTTTCCTTGTTGCTGTAGAGCAATCAGCACGAATCAGAGCTTGAAATCAAAAGAAAACATTTGAACATTACAAATGCAATTGCTAGAAGGTTGTATAGGGAATTGTAGAAAAATTAAGTCAATGGGAGGTAGAGGTGGGGTTGAGACAGAGTTTCTCTGTGTAGTCCTGCCTGTCCTACAACTCATTCTGTAGAGCAGGCTGTCCTCAAACTCAGAGATTGGCCTGCCTCTGCCTCCCAAGTGCTGGGATTAAAGATGTGTGCCACCATTACCTGTCAGTCAACGGCAAGTTCAAGGTAAAATGAAACAGGTCCCTCTCATCCTCCGACCACCTTCAACAGGCTGAAGAGCCAGCCTTGGGGGTATGAGAATGGAAGAGCTGGTTCTGCCCCTCACCAAGTACAACAATCTGCTCCTCGCCTGGGCAAAACAGTAGAGCTGGCCCTGGTGGTGTGAGTGTGGGTGAGCTGGACGTGAGGGTGTGAGAGCAGGAGAAATGTCTGCTACATTGAGTGAGCTAGCCAGGTTAGTGCTAGAGAGCTCACCCAGGTGGTGACAAGGACGGAAAGCTGGTGGGTAAACCAACCCAGCTACCACCAGGCTCGGAACCACGGTACATAATTCCTCACAGCATAAATCACATTTTCTTCTTTGTGATATTTGAAACGCCTCACAGATTGTCTATTTTGCTTTTCTACAATGTTAGTACATATTATTAGCTAATGGAACTTGAAATAAATACCTATATTATAGATTACCCTCGACCAATTATAGATTACCCTTGACCAAAGAGTCCCGATCATGAAAAAAAAAATCATCAGATTATTTGTACTGAAGGACAGTGACTTTTTTTTCTTCTTGTGTGGTATCCATGTCCTTACATAAGTGTGGATGTAGCTGGACATGTGTACATGTGTATATAGAGACCCAAAGTTGATGTCAAGAATCATCCTTGATTGCTGTTCTTCTTATTCATTTAGGCAGAATTAAACCCCAAGTTTGCTGATATGGCTAGTCTTGCTGGACAGCTCACTCAGGGAATCGCCCTGGTCTGCCTTCCAAGGCTGGGATTATAGATGGGCTGCCAAGCTCACGTGGGTTTCTGAGGGTCAAACTCTGGTCCCCATGTTTGTGCAACAAGTGCTTAACTGCTAAGCCATCTCTCCAGCTTCTAGATTAGTGCATATTAATACTGCCACAATTAAGCTTCTTTTGAAGTTTGCCTTTTATGGGCCAACAGCAAACTGTTTGGGTTTGTAATAAACTATAGTTCAGTTTTGTGTTGTCTTTGAGATGTGTGTTTTTTTTTTTTTTAAATCTCATCCTATTTCAATTATTTTATTTATTTGTCATGTGTTTGTTTATTTTGAAGGATCAAAGTAACAATGAAATCATGATTGGAGTGATGTCAGGAGGAATTCTGATTTACAAGAACAAGATACGGATGAATATCTTTCCGTGGTAAGAATTTCTACAAATACTTTAGCTTTTATCATTTTACCAAATATAGTAATTCATATGAAATAACCTGTAAACTGTTTTAATCTTGTCAGCTTACTTGTGTGGTTCAGTTTATACTTTATTTTGCTTACAGGAAATGAATCAAAAGACACCAAGATGATTTATTTCAATATGGCTTCCTAAAAGTATAATTTTCTTGTTATAGAACATACAGATATTATAAGAATACTCATTTTGAGGCTAACACATTAAGAGATACACTTGCTGTTTTTATGTAAATGCAGCCACTGAAATGCCAGTTTACTGGCTGAAAGATGCATGGCTGCTCAACCAACAACCCAGTAGTGTGGTGGTTTAAATGATTCCGAGCGAAGCATGTTGGTCCCACAAAGGCTTCACACTCATGCCTCCTTTGTCTTATCCTTCTGCCGTCCTTGCTCTCATTGTCCGAACTGGGTCACCACTATGACTTATGATTTCCAAATCTCAAAGCAAGGAAACAGAGAAAGTGTCATACGTTTCTTCTTAAGGGGATAGATTAAGGGTTATAAAAATCACTTTGATCATATCCCTGAACTTAATGTATTCAGGGTTAATCCAAGGTCTTGCTCTTTTAAATAAAGTGACTTTAGGGGAAGAAACAAATCAAAAATCAATACATTGTATCAATGTTTCTCTTGTATAAAAAGAGTTTATCTTTTTTATTCAGTATCTATTATTTTTAATAGGCTTCCATAATTAGTTACCTTAATAATACTTTGGTAGAATAAAAATAGAAATATGATAGATAGCTAACTAATGTCTTAGGAACCTATCATAATTCTGCCTTTAAAAAGAGAAAACTGTAATCCCAAGACTTTTATGATGCAACACTTTTGAAATACTGAATTACTGATGGAAATGCTAACAGTTACACCAACTTTGGAAACTGTCAGTTTCTTTAAAATTGAAAAAAAAAATGTATTAAGCAGTTGCTCGAGAGCAACAGAATGGAAGGATGAAGGGAGTGGGGAGGAAGAAGAGGTGGAGTTTGTTAGGTTATCTTACATGATAGTCTTAATAGTGGTCTTCTGCTTGTTGGAGTGGTAGAGAAGCCTGGAATTCAGTGTAAAAAGCTCAGTTGTCTCGATCCTTCCAGTGCCGAGAGCCTGGAAGTTCCCTGAAAAGTTGTTACTATTGAGTCTACATCAGAAGACTGGCGAGCTAGAACATAATGTCAAGAACGAGTAATAGGAACAGCATCCATGGTTGAACTCGTTCAGAAAGGAGCAGGGGAGGCAAGTTTACATCTGTACCACTTTATATCTGATTGCCAAGGATGGATCTTCCCCTCAGTTAATCCTCTCCTAAAAACCCCTCACAGACACTTCTAGAGTTATGTCTCCTCAGTGATTCTAGCACCAATTGTGATGATTTATCTTGTCAAGGTAATGGGAATAGAATTACTATGGGAACAAGCCTTTAGACCCGTCTGTGAGGGCCTTTCCCCATATGACTAATTGAGATGTTTGGACCCTCTTAAATGAGGGTGGCAGCATTCCAGGAGCTGGGCTGGTGGACTGAAAAAACTCAAGTACCAGTCTTGTTAGTTTGTATTACTTAATTTCAGACTAGCTTGACGAGCTGCCACCATGCCTTCTCTGCCGTGATGAACTGTAATTTCAAACGGTGAGCCAAAATAATCCTTTATTTCCTTAAGTTAGTTTTGTCACAGAAACAAGAAAAGTAATTACTATAGATTCTAATGCCAGGAATAAGGTGGTTGCTGTGATAACCCTGACTATGTGGTTCTTAGGCCTGTGGATCTAGTTTGTGAGGGGAAAGTGTGTAAGAATTTAGACTTTGGATTAGAAAAAGCCCAGAATGCTGTACGCAGAACTGTATGGGTCATTGTGATAGAACTTTGGAAGGCCAGGATGTAGAGAGACCTGAGCTGTGGAGACAGTGGACACCTGGCTCCTGAGCTTTTGGAGGGGAACGGGGACTGTATTGGGAACTGGACTAGAGGCTATTCATGCTATATTCTGACAAAAACAATCTGATTTTATTTGGCCCTTTCCTGAGAACATAAGTTAGACATTTTTAAAAGGAATGGGCTAATTTATTTGGCAGAGGACATTTCAAGGCAATATTGTATTCAGACTGTGTTGTTTCCTGCTTAAAGCTTTTCTCCAGGTTACAGTAACCACGAGTAAAAAGTAGAACAGAGGGATATGAAAAATATTTGTGAGGAAAAGAGTATGAGCAAGTATAAAACCACAGAAAAGGCAGGTCCCATTGAAGGAAAACCTTCACACTGCTTCAGTAGGAATAGTATCCCAAGAATACCGAAGGCTCCATCTTGTGAAAATACAAAGTTATTTGCAAACAGAAAACCTAAACAGAATATTGCTTAAGGGGCTCAAAAACAACTGTCTTAAGAACTTGTTTCCCAGGATCATCACCTCACAGGCTGCACCCGAGCTCCATCCTGAGTTGGCAACAGGATTTAGCACTTTTGTGTGTGTGATATTGGTTTTGCAGGCATTGAAACTGAGGAGGTCATGCAGTCTTATGTAGTGGTTCCAGAGATCTGCTGAAGTCAGGCAGTATGTGGGAGGCTTAGAGTCCCAGTAAAAAGTGGCACTGGAGGTCACTGCATGCGGTTGTGACTGTAACATCTGAGTTTCAGTGGAGACTCTAGGTTTTTACTGATAGATTAAGGGACGCCCATTGAAGGGAGCTACAGGAATGGGGTGGAACTGGTTCCAGTCTATGTACACAGCAGGTATCGAAACTGGAGAGGTCTGACTACCCAACCCTTTGACCCCATATGATCCCCAGAAGCCTCACGTGGAGCTACAGGTTTTGGTGTTTTCCTTGCAGGGTTTAATATCTTGCTTTGGTCTGATATTTGAAATGGGACTATTGAGTGTATGTAACTCAGTTCCTAATTGTCCAGGGCTCATAGTTAAGGGACTACCTGAGGCTTGAAAAAGACTTTTGAGCACTGTTGGAACTGTTGAAGACTATGGGAACATAGAAATAAATATCTGTAAAGGAGTGTCTGCATTGGGCCAATAAACATTATTTCTCAACCTTTGGGTCTCGACCCTTTTGACAAACTCTATCTTCAAATATATTTACATTATGATTCAGTTATATTGATTATATTCAGTTATATGATTCGGTTATATATGATCAGTTACATTATAATTTCAGTTATAAAGTAGCACTGGAAATAATTTTACAGCTGGGGGGAGGGAATGACAACATGAGGCACTGTATTAGAGGGTCACAGCATTAGGAAGGCTGAGAACCACTGGCCTAATTGAACTGGAAAGACACAGTTTCATAGGCTGAAATCTTGAATTAAATTAAAAAGAGAAAGCTGAACCCTAGCGTTTGTCTTTCCTAGTACTTCTTGACTACAGTCACCTTTTGCTTTTGCTGTCAGGTCTTCCCTCCATAATGGACTATGCTCTCAAAGTGTGAGCCAGAAGAAACCCGTCTTCCGTTGTTGCCCTTGGTAGGGATTTTGTCAAATTTATTAGAGAAGTAACTAATATCATTCAGGTTGGCAATAGACCAAACATGGCATCATGTTATCCTAGCAATTCTTTTCGTAGAGATTTATATATGAGAAACATAGTTTGTGTGTGTGTGTGTGTGTGTGTGTACGCATATATTTACAAAATTCATAGCTAATAGCATTCATAACATAAAATGTGTATCAACTGAAAGAATAAACAGATTATGGCATGTCTACATGGTATAATTCTGCTGAGCATTAAAAAGAGATGGACCATGTCACAAGCTCTTTCCTGCCAGCCTGGTCCCACAGCCACATCAGCCCCAATTAACACACATATGCTGTATAAATTATGAAACTGTTGGCCAGTGGCTATGGTTTCTTATTGGCTAGCTCTGTCCTAATTATTAACTCATTTCTATCAATCCTAGTATTTCCATGTGGTCTTGGCTTACCTAGAATGCCAGACCTGCATCTCCTTTTCCTGCTACATCTCTGCAGAGAAGAGAGATTTCCTGTTTATCCCTGCTTATATTCTGATTCTTCCCAGCTATGTCACTTCCTGCCTGCCTGTACAGACCTCCAGACCTCTATAGTTAGCTAGTGGCAGTATCTGCCATGCTACGTCACTTCCTGCCTGGCCAATCAGTGTTTTATTCATCAACCAATAAGACAAACATATACAGAAGAACATTCCCCGTCAGGTCTGTTGATATATTAATATTATAGAGACGCCTATCTTCAAATCTTTATACCAGGTACAAAAGAATGCATTTCACTCTACATGAAATCCCAGTATACATGTATTTTAAAAATTGGAAGCGTCTACTAACTGTACAGGGGCACCAAAGAGACTTTGTAAGATGGCAGAACATGATGATTGCTCTGTGGTGGTTATGAAGTGGAACAGATTTGCCAAATCTCATTGAATTGCTCACTTAAAGTTGTTAAATTGTATTATAAATGCAAATTATATCTCTGTAAAACTGAAAACTAAATATTGTTTAGTGTTTAATCTTCCACCTTTGAAATGTTTCCTCTGTAATTATAAGTGTGGCATGTTAAAGGACAAAATCCAATGACCAAAAACATAACTCTTACCTGTAAGTATTGATAGAAGCACAAAGACTAATTTTTTTTAATTTTATACTATATGTAAATTTCAAAACCATAATTTACTTTCAGGTGATATAACTTTAAATGCCAATGATAAATTTTTCTATATTTTCAAAGTTCTATATTGTATAATCTTTTGGCTTTTTTTAACTGTTTAATTATTATAAAATAAGGATTCTAGCTAACTACTGACATTGCTGTGTGAACAGAAAATAATATTCTCTATGGAATATTTTACTGAATTTGAGATGGCTTTTATAGGATGCAGAGAAGGTTCCTCAGTTGGAAGGAGACAGTGAATTTTGAGGAATCAATCAATATATGTAGGATATTCATGATGGAAGACTTGATGCATCATTTAAATGAAATTAGTTTAAAATTTGGAAATAGTACTCTTATGTTCAAGGCTTATGTATGTTGGGTTTAAGAAAACCAAACAACAAATGTTAACATTAAAATATTAATTAGAAAGTATTTCATAATATGAATTTTAAATATTAGTTCAGTAACTAAATAGATGGGATTTAAATTTGTTAGAACTATCAAACACATATCACCATGGGCTCTAATGGATATTTTCCATCTATTTTCTTCTTCTTTTTCTTTCCCCCTGAGACAGTTTCTTTGGAGCCTGTCCAGGAACTCGCTTTGTGTAGACCAGGTTGGCCTTGAAGTCATAGAGATCCTCCTGTGCTGGTATTAAAGGCGTATGCCACCACCGCCCAGCCTGTTTTTATTTTTATTTTTCCCAACTATTCTCTACAGTATACATTTCAAGAAAACTTATGCAAAGACATTAAGATAGTAACAGAGAGAAAGAGAATTCAGCTTCCAGATGTGTGAGATGTTCACTATCCTGTTCCCACAACAAAGAAAAACACAGTAGACTGAAACTGATTTGGGAACCCAAAGACAGTGATAGGGACAGAAAAAGGGACCTGGTGGAAGCTGCTATGACACTACAGGTGCTCACAGTATGGTAAATGCAGCCTCTGTCTTGTCAGGTAAACAGGAAGCTTCAGCTAAGGAATGTTTACCTGCTTCCTTTTATTCAGTAAATCATGTCTGGATTCAACTTCAAATTTCAAGTGATGAAGAAATTCAAAGACAGAGAGAGAAACTTGAAAGAAAGCACCAAAAATACCATTTTGTAGAGAATTAAGGATAAGAATTACATGGCATTTGCCTTTGGAAAACCCACAAGTAATGGAGTGAAATATTTGCAAGTGTTCAAAAAAAAAAAAAAAAAAAAAATAACCTCATCAACTTGGTCTATAATTGTCTTTGAAAAGCAAGAGGGATTAAAAGAATCTTTTACTTGTTGGCCAGCCTTGTGAGGAATGTTAAACTAAGTTCTTCAGACTACCCCTTCAGATTTAAAGAGGTAGATTGATTATCAAAATGGGTTTTTAAACCTTATTGGATAATTTATATGCTTTATGAAATTCACTGTTAAAATATATAGTAATTGTAGTATACATATTTAAAGAACACAGCATCACCCCAAAAGAGCCTTTGTTATAAGTCATTCTGTACCCCTGGTCTTGCCTCTACTTCCAGCCTTAATCACATTTCTATTCTGGATATTCTAAAATGAGATAATATACTATGAGTTTGAGTAACTTGTCTAGCATGTTTTTGACATTTCTCTCTCAGAACATATATAACTCAGTGTCCCTTTTTATTTATAGAGCTGAATAATGCTCTATCCCTTAGTTTCGTCCATTTTGTTTCACAACTCACCAGTTGTTTGCTTTGGCAGGCTATTAAGACTAGTGCTACACTGCATATTTATTTGTATAAGTGTTTAGCATATTTATTTGTATAAGTGTTGGTAGGAATTTCTGGGTTTGCCAAACTTTGTCTCATGTGGCACCTTCTATCCCCACTGGGCTATGTGCTAGGTTAATGTCACCATATTTTCCCTACCATTTATTGTTTGTCTTTGGCTTAAAGCTGTCCTGGTAGGTGTGAAGTGATGCCTGATTTTTATTTTAATTTGTATCCTTTTATGGCTAGTAATGTTAAACATCTTTTCATGTGTTTATCGTTCTTTCCTCTATCCTCTTTGAAATACTTAGATGGAATTGAAAATTTTATGTATATACTATTTATAAGAGATTATAGGAAACATAAAGAGGCAGATTGGTTGAATTCACTATGAAAGATAAACCAAAAACATGGAAATAACGGGGAAAGTGTTGTAGCTATCTTATTATGTAAAACAAGTATTATTCATTGCTTGATAGAATATATTTTTGGTTGTTTGGAAATTGAAGATGAATATAAATTAGATTAGATTTTCTGTCTCATTCACTTAGAAATGAATAGCATTTTTATTTGTTGCTTGTGTGACGGTTCTTAATGTATAAATTTAAAAGTATATGTAGCTCTGTGTAGTTTTTTTAATGGCTTACTTTCCACAAATACAGACTGTTTTTAACCAGTCTTCTTTTCACTTTCTGGAAACAATACCTTCTGTTATATAAGAAAATAATCTATCATGTTGTTATATATCTACAGAGTAAGAGCATAAGGTGTAACAGTAAAATAATAAATTTCAACCCTGAGGCTGGGAATTTGGATTATAGTAGCACTTCACTGACATGTGCAAGGTCCTGGGTTCAGTCCCCTAGCAGCACAAATAAATTTCAGACCTAAAATCTAAGCTTATATTTCCCCACATTAAATGGATCTGCCTGAGTACCATTGGTACATTCGTCTTCTCAAGTGACTGAAATTGGAGAAGTTTATTCTCTGAGAGTACTCAGAACTTCTTAATGGATATGGGTATAAGTCATGAAGATCAAAACACTGTGAAATATTAGAAATATTAGAAAATTGGGTTCCAAATCAGATTTGACTAAGATTCAGTCTCCTTGGCCACATAGCCTTTAGGTGTTACAGCCCCCGAAGACATGAGAATTACTTATTATAAGGTTATTATAAGAAACCAAACCAGCTTGAGTCATGAATTGCATTAATGGAATGTTGAGAGAATACTGTCATATAAATTGCATATATTTAAGCTGGGTGTGGTAGCCAAACTGGAGGAGGTAGAGACAGACAGACTGGTCTACAGAGTGAAGTCTTGGCCAGCCAGGATTATATAGTGAGACTGTCTCCAAAAACAAACAAAAATAAGTCATATATTTTTTAAAAGGTAATGTATAAGGGTGAGATAAACCATTATGGTTTTTAAAACCAAAAAGTTTCATAAAACCCTGAAATTTTACATTTTCCCTTATGCATTCTTTATAGTATTGAAAGTTTTACATGTTATTCATTAAGATTTTAATTTTGGGTGAATATTTCTGAAAATAGAAAACTAAGAAATATGTAGTTTGTTGTGGATATAGTTTGGTAAATTTTTGAGCACCAAGATTTTCTTTTGTTTTCTAAGAAGCACCATAAACTTCACATTATTGACATGTTATATGTATTAGAGATTATAGGATAGAATATGAAGATATTGGTGTATTAAACTTAAGATTATGGCCATGCACCTGTGTGCATATGGGTAGCACTATCTGGACTTGGGGTTATTAATAACAAAAACAAAAATTGAAAAAGAGGCCATGAAGTTAATGGGGAGGAAGGGTGTTGGTATTAGAAGGAGTTGTAAGTGTTGGTGAATAGATTGATTAATATTCATCCTGTAAATGTATGAAACTTTTAAAAATCATAAAATATAAAAAAGTAACATCTATAATTTTCCCAATTTTTCCCAATATTTTCATCTTTAACCAGTAATTTTTGTATACTCCAATTTTATCTTATGCAGGTTGAAGATTGTAAAAATTTCTTTTAAATGCAAACAATTTTTTATTCAACTTAGGAAAGAATTGGTGAGTATTGATCTAATAATTATTGATATAAATGAAATTTTTTAAGATTGCCTAGCCATACACAGGGAAGATGGCTCAATTTGTATAGGGTTTATACAGTGTAAGAACATGAGTTTGATGTAGAAACCACATGAAAAAGTTGCACTTAAAATCTAGCAATGGGGAGACAGAGACAGGATGATGCATCCAGCTCCCTGGCCTGCTAATGAGAGGACAGAGAGGACAGTACTTCTGAGAAATAGCACCTGAGTTTATTCTCCATACTAAGTCCATTGGACTTCCTTTCATAGGAAAGCTTATTTCATTTTGGAAGTGCTGAATATTTAGTTTTCAGTTCATCTTGTATCAAAGTGTTAGTATAGTGTTAAAACAACTTCATCTTGTAAAATATCTTACCTGTTTGATCAAATTAAACTAGCTTTGTCTGGTATGGTGACATAAGCCTGTAATCACAAGCATGCAGAATCACTAAAATATTTGAAGCCATGCTGGGTTATAGGACAGGAACTTGGCACAAAAAAATACATATTTACAGGCATGGATATGCAAGCAAACTATCCTTGCTTTTTGGTTTGCATTCTTTTTTTATGTCTTTGCAAATTAATGCATGCTTTAAGTTGTATAAAATTTCCTTAAATTCTTAAAAATGTATTTTGAGTCAGCTGTAATACCCACCTATTAGAGCATATTTTCCTATTTTGTGAATATGGATTATCATTTGTTTATCAAATATGGGAATTTTTTAATAATAGAATTTTTTATCAAAATGAAGTTTATTATGGGAAAGTAACTATACTTTAAGTATATGCTTGAGAAATTCAGAATATATAGCGCATGTCCTTGCCCTGTGCTAATGAAACTACTTCAGGTAATAACCTTCTGAACATAAAAGCAGCATTATTCCTAGAGCAGTCATAGTGTGTGTGTGTGTGTGTGTGTGTGTGTGTGTGCGCGCGTAAATATCCAGAGAAGGACGTACGTATAATAAATCTTGTTATCCAGAAACTAGAGGATAGATACTTTGCTTGGAGTAACTATAGAGAGCATTGTAGAAGACAGCTTCTCTAGTTCACCTGATTGTGGAGGAATGTCTTATCAGTAATAATAACAGTTATGAAATGTAACATTTATTGAAAACAATGTGTGTACCTGGTAATATATGAACCACTTTTATTATTTAGTTCTCATACTTGTTCAGAGAGATTTTATCAGTTAGCATTGTGATTACCTGTAAGTAACAACAGCATCATAAGCCAAGTAGTGAGAGGTTAAAGACCACATACAGATACACTCTGCAGGATGCCAGTGTTTTATCTGTAAAACATTTGTTTGTCTTTAACTATCTAAACTTAGAGCCAGGTGCAGTGATGCACATCTGTAATCCTTTTGCTCAGGACGCAGAGCCAGTGGGCTAATTGCTTGTTCAAGTCTAGCCCTAGTCTACCTAGAAAGTTTCAGACCAAGTAGAGCTGCATAGCAAGACTTTGCACCAAAACAACAGCAGCAAATCCAAATTGTCAGTTTTTACACTTACACTTAAGGTACTTTATGTCTATTGTTTACAGATTGGAAAAATGTTGCTTTTAAAATACAGTTCCAGTGTGAAAAGTTTAAAGCAATTGTTTAAAAGAGAAGTAACATATACATCTTAATGCATACACACTGAGAATGTTACTGTATTATACTCTGTAGATATTCTGTCAGTTTTCATAATGTTCATTGTATATCATATAACACATAAACTGATAGTGCATATACAAACAATTGTTAATGCTATATTTTGTTATATAATGCTATATAACAAATTACTTGTTAATCATTTACCTCCTAATATGAAAATATATTCTTACGTATGAACATTTTATCTTGATTTAATTATGGAAAATATTTTCATGATGAAAATAGTTCTTGAATAAAACGTAGGCTTTTTTTTTTTTAACCTTAAAGTTAATTATTTTGGACTATTTCAAAACTGGTAACTGATCATCAAAAGGTATCATTAAGAGAGTGAAATAGCACTGAATGTGTGTGTGTGTGTGTGTGTGTGTGTGTGTGTGTGTGTATGATATCCAACAGGAAAACATTCCAGTGTCTTGAATATCACTTCAGAAAGGACAGTATCCACATGGTAGCCAAGAAGGTTGTGAGTTCAAAATCACCTGAATCTACCTCAAAAACAAAAATAAGGTAGACATGGTGGCCCATACCTCTAATCCCAGCACTTGAGAGGCTAAGACGGGGTATTGCCACAAGTTCAAGGCTAGCCTGGTCTACAGAAGAGGCCATGCTTTCTCCCTTTTCCCCCTAAAATCTGCATGGCCATTAACATGAAAACATGTTGAATTTTATTAGTCATCAAGAAGAGGTACATGTCATAACCAGAATGTCCCACTTCTGTATGTCTGTCAAGACAGTGAACTTAGAAAGACTGAAAATAGTGGGGCGGTCCATGCTTATAATGCTTCTCCCTCAGATAAGAAAGGAGAACTGTCATGAGTTCAGTGTCCAGCCTGAACTTTATAGTGAGTTCTAGACCAGACTAAGGTACAGTGTGAAATGCTGTCTGAACAAACACAAAACAAAACCAAAATTGCTAAAGCTGGTTAGTATATGGAACACACTCTTTTGTAGGGATGAAGTATTAACCACTCAAGCTAAATGTCCATGTTATGATCCAGGAATAGAAATATGTACATATGACTATAGTCAGTAGGAGTATATATATATGTACAACATTAATTTTCTATCCCAGTGGAAATACCACATGTTTATAAGTGGTTAAGCAGATAAACTATTGTGGATACATTACAGTAGAACACAATGAAAAGTGAAAACATGACAGAAAAGTGATTATCATTAGAAGATCATCTAGTGGGAGAAGGCAATGGAAGATCTTACAGAGTTAGAGAATGATCTGTTTCATACACTGGATTAAGTGGTCACATTTTCTGCAAATCAGAACAATTTCTCATGAGGTATATGCTTTGCTATAATGTGGTTTATGTGAAAAAGAAAAAATAGAGAAATCATTTTATTTTCGTCCTAGTCAATTGCTAATGTGATTTTGTAATAGTGCTTGAAGGCAGAATTACAAATTGTTGGCCTATTACAAATTTAACTTATGGTATAAGATTGTATTTTGAAGCAGAATCATAGCTAATAATTTGAAAATACTAAAAAATTTAAACTTATTTTTACCTATGATAGAGAATAGAAGGCCTTACAGTTGTAAAAATTGCTGAATTGCACATTTTATAGATCTTTTCATTTAGTTCACTGAGTCTTTGTCAAACAGAATCATTGAGGGAGAGATTAGCGTTTGCCGGGCTTGCATACTTTATGTCAAAAGTATTGTCAGAACCTGATGTTTTCCTATATTCTTTGAATTTTGTCATTTAATACAGCATGAATCTAGAGAAACATTGCTGGGGTTTAATATGGTGAACTACAGAGCATGTAAAAATTTGTGGAAAGCATGTGTAGAACATCACACATTCTTCCGCCTGGATAGACCACTTCCACCTCAAAAGAATTTTTTTGCACATTATTTTACTCTGGGTTCCAAATTCCGGTACTGGTAAGTGCTTCTTTTATACTAAGACATTATCTGGGGAGATTTCCCCCTTTACCTTTAGATAAAGGTCTCTAGAGAAACGGCTGACTGGATATGAAGAGTACTGGCTTCTCTTCTAGGACACAGGTTTAATTCCCAGCTCCCAGATGGCAGTGACAGTGTCTGGAACCCAGTTTCAGTACACCCATCACCCATCACCCTCTCCTGGCCCCCAGAAGCACCAGGCATCATATGGCACACAGAAGTATGGCAGACAAAACAACCATATACATAAAATTTTAAAATATTAATCATTAAAGACCGAGACACAAAGCAATAGAAACACTATTAATCACAAAACCTAAAAAGTAAAAATCCACATGGAATCTTGTCTGTGTGTCTGTATCAGTACGTCCTATGGTATCTTGTGGTGCACACTAAGCTTGAAGCCCTGTGCCTTTGCTTGTGCTATCGATAATTATTTTAAAGTAATTACCACATTTGCATAGTTACAATGTCTACAAATTTTACAGTTCCCAGTGTATTTATTACAGATATAGAAACTTTTCTATAAGATATGTTCATTTTATTTGTAAAAACTAAGATATATTCTATATAGGTATACAGTTTTATTTTGTTTTTTAAATCTATAGTTTTTGGAGCTATCCAGCCTGAAAGAATTCAAAACAACCACTAAACAAAAATGATTAGTTTGTTAGTAACCCCAGATCCTGACATTTTCCTGTTTTCTCTGTCTATAGTAAAGCATAAATCCAGAGAAATAACTTTTCCTAAAATTATCTTTAAATTTTTTTCCTTTATTTTTATTTTATATGTTTGGGTGTTTTGCCTGCATGTATATCTATGCACCACATGTGTGCAATTCCCACAGAAGCCAGAAGAGATCCCCTGAGTTAGGAATTACAGACAGTAGTGAGCTACTGTATGTGTAAGGAGTAAGGTTTTTCCTGCCGGCCTGGAGCTACCGTGGCGTCAGCCCCAAATAACACACAGAGATTCTGTATTTGATATAATGCTGTTGGCCAGGTACTTGTTTCTTATCAGCTAGCTCTGTCTTAATTATTAACCCATTACTATTAATCTAAGTATTTCCATGTGGTCTCATCTTTCCCGAGAGTGGGCCGGAGGTTCTGCTCTCTCCAGTCTCTCCATGTTGACTCTTCCCTACTTCTTCCTCGAATCCTCCTTGTCTCCTAGTCCTATTGGCCAACAGTGCTTTATTCATTAACCAGTATGAGAAACATATTTACAGAATGACATCTCCCATCATGTATGGGTGCTAGGAATCAAACCTGGGTCCTCTAGAAGAGTGGCCAGTGCTCTTAACTGCTGAGCCATTTCTCCAGTCCCCCTAAATTTCTATTACTTGTTCTCTTTGAAGTAATTTTTTGATGGATAATGAGGTAAAATGTTGCCTCTGATATGTATCCTTTATGTAATCACCAGATACATCCGCAGCCCCAGATATATATCATGCCCTCGTGTTGAGAATAGTCTAAACTATTTACTGCCTATTTTGAAATGTACAACTAATGTCAATCATAGTTGATCTTCTGTGCTATAGAATATGAGAAGTTATTTTTCCTATTTAGCTGTTTCTTTTAGCATTTATTAACTTTTTAAAAATTTTCTCAATGGCAGCCAGGTGTTGGTGGCGCACACTTTTAAGCCCAGCACTCAGGAGGCAGAGGCAGGCAGATCTCTGTGAGTTCGAAGCTAGCCTTGTGTACACAGCGAGTTCCAGAACAGGCTCCAAAGCAATACAGAGAAACTCTATCTCCCAAAAAACAAAAAAAAAAAAAAAAAAAAAAAAAACACAAAAAAAAACCAAAAAACAAAAAACAAAAAAAAAAAAAAAAAAAAAACACCAAAAAGAAATTCTCCCAAAGGCATCAATTTTGGGGAAATAACTTTGAAGAAACCCTGATTAGTCTTATATGTAGACACATAAAATCTAGTTTTGAAGTGGGACTTAGTAAAACTCATGCAGAAAAGGTGATTTAATGAAACAAATGGTATTCATTTTTACCTGTTTTTGGTTTTTCTTTTCCATTTCTAATATTTTATGCTAGAAGAAAGTGTTATATGATAAGAAAATGTTTAGATACTCCTCTAAAAGATTAATAATATAAATACCAACAGTAAAAATAGTAATGTGTGCACATGGTATATTACTTGAAATACATGCCTGTCATCCCAAGAAAAAAAATGTGTGGAAGTTAAGTGCCATGAAATAGAATTTATTTATTTATTTATTTATTTCCAAAAAGCAAAACACAGCAGATTCTTAAGTAGCTTGATAACATGTTTTAGCAAAGCCTTGTTTACTTTCCTAAAAGCAACATTCAGAAAGGTAAGATGCAGTCCTTGCCATTTTAAAAGTTAAATGGACTGAGAGAGAACATGTCCAGTCAGTGGTGACAATCAAGGAAAGGCCGAGGCTGCTTGTAGACCTGGTCACACCCTCAGCAGGGACAAGAATGTCCAGTGAAATCTCTGAATTGGAGGACATGAGTTCAAATATAGTAAACAGCTATGTTCAAGTTTTAAAGTGTGGGAGTTGAATTCCCTTGAGTGAAGATTCAGTCAAGGTAGCACACATGCTCATTATTCTGAAAAGGGCCTTTGTGTCTCTCTTTAACTCCCTTTGCTCACCATTTGTCCTTAGGCAGTTGCTGGTCTTTGGTCTCTTTAAGTTGGTTTTCATTTTCTAGGTTCTTATATAAATTGAAACATATTCTTTTATAATGTGACCTCTTTTACTCATTGTAATTATGTCATCCCATCCAGGTTGCCTATATTGGTAGTTTTCTTTTATTGCAGGGTACTAGTCTGTTGTATAAATATAGTTTGTTTATCCATCCACTTAATAATGGATATCTGTTTTCCAGGTTTGGGCTATTATAAATAAAGCTTCTGTGAACATATGTATATACATATATATGTGAATATATGTACACATACATACACATATAGATGTGTATATACAGGGTTTTATGTGCATGTTTGCTTTTTTTGGGTAAACAAATAGGAGTAGAATGGACAGGTTATATGATAGATTTAACCTTTTAAGGCACCTCCAAATGAGTCACCAAAGTAATTATACCATTTATAGAGCCTAATAGCCAGTCAGCAAACTATTAGTGAATAAGCATTTATATATTAGCATCTTAAATTTTACTTATCTCCAACAGTCCTAGTTAGCAGAGTTTTATTTAGGAGGTATTTTGGAGGGAGTGGCTCCCCTTGCTAAATTTTATTTTGTGTGACTTAATGTGTCCTAAGAAAATCAATTAGTAAGTCTTTTATAACATCACTTCTATTCCTTTTTCTTATTTAAATATATTTTGATCATATTCTTACCCTCTCCAAGTCCTTTCATAGATTCTCTCTCTCCCCCTACCACCCACCTTTAAGTTTTCTCAAAAAACAAACTCCTCAAATGCAACAGCAAAACCCCCCAAAAGCAAGAAAACAACACACACACACACGCACACACACGCACACGCACATGCACATGCACATAATGTAGAGTCCACATTATATGTTGCTCAACTATTCCTGAACATGAAGCCTCTCCTAGACTGTGATATACCCATTGTCACTCTATTAGAGAAAATTGATTTTCCTTCATCCAGCAGTATGTGACAATTCAGTAGTTGTCTTTATCCTACCGGCTAAATTTTAATCTATCCATCCACCCACCCACAAATCCGTAACTATTCTGTTTCCCTTTCTTATCTGCTCCATATAGACAAGTGGTTCTCAATGTCTGGGTTCTGACCCCTTTGGGGATGAAATGACCCTTTCACAGGAAATGCATATCAGATATTTACATTGTGCTTCTTATTATATTACGAAGTATCAACAAAAATAATGTTATGGTTGGGGGTCTCCACAACATGAGGAACTGTATTAAAGTGTTGCAAGATTAGGTAGGTTGAAGACCCTTACTCTATACCCTCTGTCTTTCTATGGATTATAGCATAGGTATTGTTGACTTCACAACTATTAGCCACATATAAGCAACACATACCATATTTGTCTTTCAGAGTCTGTGATACTTAGGATGATTTTGATTTTCCTCCTATACATTGGGAATGCAGAACCTAGCAGAAAGCTAAGTGAAAACAGAATCTAGAAAATGGAGTGTGTTCACTTACTGTTCTATGATAAATGTAGCAAAGCAAAGTGAGATAGAATTAGGACCTGTAAGAGCCCATTTCACATTAGTGTTTGGACACAGGCCATATATATTTATAGTTTCAAAGATTAAGTTCTGTGTTTGTAGTTCTTTAGAATATATCTGAAGCATTTTTAAATTATTAAATATGAATAGTCTTACAAATGAAGTAGTCAAGTAAGCATGATAAATATCTAACTGCACATAATTCTTTCCCTAATGGACATACCCAAAATAAGCATTGATCAACCCCCTCCTCCTATAGCAAGCAATAGCTAGGAATACTAATGTTATTGTTTTACTTAACATGTTGAAATATTATTGACTAGAAAACGGAGCTGGGAATATTGACAAGGTTCATTGCTTTTTTAACCACCTCTGTTTACATATGTGCTTATTACTGTTCTATATATCCAAGGAATTAAATTAAATGCATTAATCTAGTAAACCTGGATATATATCTTTCTTAGAGGAAATATATTTTCCTAGAAAGCTTTAACTTAACCCACATTTAAGAAAAGTCCCCCATTTTTTCCATTAAAATCAATTATGCTGTTTAGTTCACTGTTATGGATGGTTCTTTTTGACCAGCAGTCTTACCCTAAATTAATACTCATAAGCTATATTAGTTATAAGACTGTTGGCCAATGACTAGGGCTTCATATTGCCTAGCTCTGTCTTAATTACTGACCCATTTCTATTAATCTAGTATTTCCACATGGTCTTATCTTACCAGAGAAAGATCCGGGGATCCCGTTACTCCTCTGGCATCCTACATGGCCTCTGGCAACTGCTCTCTGCCTACACCTTCCAGAATCCTCCTCATCTCTTAGACCCGCCTATCTTGCCGCTCTATTGGCCACAGTATGATTAACATATTTACAGAATGACATCTCCCATCAGTTCACATCTATTTAAATTTGTCCTAGGAATATAGTCTAAAATTTGTTTGTATGGCTCTTTTGAGAACATCTATTTGCCATATATATATATATATATATATATATATATGGCGAGTGATATGTATAATATATATTTATATATTTATAAATTGTTCCACTTTCTGTACTAGAAATTTATGTGCAGTCACAGCTCAGGAACAGGGTGCTTCCACAATTCACTGAGAGCTACTCTTTCATTAACACAGGTAGCCGAACACACTGATGTGCCATGGAGAAGGGCCAGATACCTCCTCAGCATACACAGTGTGCTTTCTAGGCAAATCAGCTTCAAGGCAGAAATAGTGCCCAGCATCCACAATATTTCTAACCCCATTTCTTATATTCAAAAATCTGAAATTTCTTGCATTGGGACATGGAGGTATAGGCTGTCTTCATGTAATAATTAGTAGTAGAAAAGGAAAGAGAAGTTATCCAAGATACCACATAGTTCAGTCTATCAAATGGAAGTAATGGAGACATTAGCTAACTCTGCCCTGTAGGTTAAGTTGGGGCTGTGGAGCTTGTTTGATACAGAGCATCTCTGATTCTAGAGTCTGTTAGCAAGCACAATAGGAAAAGGGCTCCTGGTATCAAACACATGCCTATTGGACACATACTGTGAATTGAAGAACTGCGAATTAAGCTTTGTCCATCCACATAGAACTGGAAAGCAGTCAGTTTTCCCTTTTTACTCTGCTGCTTTTATTGGTGTTCTTGTCATTAGAAATGTCTCGTCTCTTGTAATTGAAATTGTAATTGAAATATGAACATGTTTTATGTTGTCATTTTATCCTGTAGTCCCCTTTAAGATATTATGCATATTTATATATTTCAGTGGGAGAACTGAAGTCCAGTCAGTTCAATATGGCAAAGAAAAGGCAAATAAAGACAGGATATTTGCGAGGTAAGTCAATTCTGTTTTAGTATCTGAGGTATTTTGGGTGTTTTGTTTGGTTTTTCTTCTTACATCTTAAGATTTTATTTTGTGTTATATTCAGCCCTCACACATACACGCATGAGCTAGTGTGTGTGTGTGTGTGTGTGTGTGTGTGTGTAGGTAGGTAGGTCAGAGGACAACTTTGGGGAGTTTGTTCTCTACGTTATGTGGGTCCTGGGGTTAAGCCAGCCCAACAGGTACCTGAGCTTTTTAAAAGGATAAATGTTATTAGAAATGGGGGCTGGAGAGATAACTCAGGAGTTAAAAGCACTTACTGCTTTTATGAAAAAGATCCAGTTCAGTTCTTAGCACCCACGTGGTAGCTCACAACTGCCTATAACTCCAGTTCAGGGCATCTGATGTCCTCGTCTGGTCCATGGACTCTTGCATGCATGTAGGTTATATGCATATACTCAGGTGAACACACTTACTCATAAACATTTTTTTCTAAACAATCTGTGAAGTACATAATATACAATGTTTATGAAATGGAAACTAGTTTGTCTAGTGTCCTGATCTTTTTTATGGTTGTGAGCCTAGCCTTTAACGGCTGAGCTATCCCTCCAGCCTGTCCTGATCTTTTTTTGTTACGTATTTGTGAGCATTAATAATGCATTGAATATAATAGGTTTGAATAGGCTAAATCTAGTATCACTAATACAACTTTTTGTTGGAAACTCTCCTGTTACATATTTTTGATTTCTATTGCCTAGCTCATTTCTATGTTTATTTAAATCATGCAATTAAAAAGATACATTTCTTTCGATTTGCCTTTTTAAAAAATATTCCTTTCAGTTTGCTTTTAGTGACAGAAATGATACTTTGTGTTATTCAAGATTTTTCCTTCAATACACTTAAGAAGGGGTGTGTGTGTGTGTATGTGCTGTGATTATCTGTACAACTGTCCATTTACTTCTTATGAACATAATTATCCTAATTTAATAAGAATTTGTCTGGCTTTTTATACTGTCTCTTATTTGCAGTACTCCCTTATTTCTGAAAATAAAATTATTGTGTAATTTTAATGGCTTTGAACATAATAGAGTTAAGAACTGTGCAGATATTCCTGCATCTTCGATGTTTTGTGTATTCATTATTAAAATGCTACAAAGTTTGTATAGTACTGTCTTTGATTTTTGGAGTGTGTGGGCGGTTGGGGTGTAGGTACTAGGTTCCCAAGTTCAGGGTCTTACACATGCTAGGCAAGTGTTCTACTGCAGAGCTCTTGTGTTTTGTCCTGGAGTGCAGTTTTAACAGTGGTGGACCATCCTAATGATTGCTCTATCTCTGAAAGAGATACATAGCTACTTATATTCTCTAATGGCTTTATAAGGTACTAAGTCATTTTAGTTTAGAATTTCAGATTTCTTGTCTCTCAGAATTTTATGTGGCAATATAAACAGAAACTTAAAAAGATTGTTAAAAAATATATGAAAAATTTGATCAATACTTTCTCCCTTATATATTAACTCTTTGAGTTGCTTTCATACTTTCTCAGTTATCATATAATAATATCTGTGGAAGAGAGAACAAAGTTCTCATCAAGAGAAAAATAATGTGCCATGGTCAGAAAATAAACTCACCACATTGCTAACAGTGTGGTATTTTTTTCTCTGAAATTTCCGCACAGAACAGGAAACAGACAACAAGCTTGAGTGGGTGGGTCTCTGAGGTTAAAACTGTTAATAAAGAAAAATGCCTGAAATTTAGTTTTAAATTCAAGACATTTCCAAACATGTTTAGTTCGTTACCAAGAATAAAGTGTTCAGACAGTTTGTACTAGGTAAGTATCCTGGATTTTTGAATGATCTTTTTTTCCTTCTCTTAATAATCTTAGTCTGTTCTCACAGCTTACATTTAGTCTAGTATATGAGGAAAGAATAGTTTGTGAATATTAAGGAGTAACACTAAAAACTAGAGATGGTTAATTATGGTGACTTTTTAAGATTTTATTTTTTTAGATTGAAGATAGTACATAATATATTGTCATTTGTGGGATTGAAATATGTGCCCTCCATTGTGCGGGACTGACTCTACTGATATCCTGAGTTCCATTCAAGAAGTTCTGTAACTTAAACTCACAATGATAGGAAGAAGCATCTGTGCTTAAATTACCTGGACTTTATGTTTGGAAAATGAAATTTGAGTACATGTTTTTGTTTGTTTGGTTGCTTGCTTGTTGGTTTGTTTTACCAGTAGCATCATGTCTTTTTTCGTGTCCCCAGTAGGCATGATTATTTTAATGTTTGCTGCTGTGGACATAAAACACTGTGAAATACCATTTGCTGAGCATTGCCCTTCTCAGGCCATTCTGTTTGTGTAGTTGATGTGTCACAAAGGAAATTTCAGGTTGTAACTGCAAATTTAAACACAATGAATTAGGGTATATATTGATCTTACTATTTAGATGTATTTGGATTAATTAAATTTGCACTTTTTTGTGCCTTGCCTAGTATTTTTTTTCTTAATTTATATAAAAGTATGTAAATAGTACATGACAAGAAGGGAAAATTATGGACAGTTTTTAAGGCAAAAAAAAAACCTTCCAATATTCTAAAAGGAATACATAGCAATAAGTACAGTCTTTATTATTGGAAATCTAAAAATAAAATTCCCAGAATGACGATGTTTGAAAATAATGAGCCAACACTGAAAAAAGTTTGTTGCCTTTTAATGTTTTAATAATTTTTTAAAATTCTGTATAGTGTATTTTGATCTCTTCCTAGACTCACTCCTTACTTGTTTTGTTTTCTCCGTCAAGACCAAGTTGTGCTGCACCAATTACTCTTGGATGTGTAGCCTTTCACTAGAGCATGGTAGACTTACCAGCAGTTACACTGTTAGAGAAAACTGATCCTCTTAGAGAAAGCTAAATGTCTAGTAGCTCCTCAGCTTGGGTGGGATTTGGTCTGCCTTGGTTTAAAACAGCTTTTGTGTATGCTGTCCTAACCACTTTGAGTTCATGTGTGTGGCTGCCCTGCTGTACTGCTATATACAAATAAGTCTATTTAAAATTTTATGATCTGATTTTTGCAGTAATATGATGGTATCTGTTTTACTTTGATGTAACAGAAAATAGCATACATGATTTTTTGCGGGTCTTGAGGAATTTATTAGAGATTAAAAGCCATGTTAGGTGATTTATTGTGTGTTTTGTCACTAAACTCATTTAATTAACTTTAAGGATAATTCTACATATCAAAAAAGTACACATTTATGTAGAAGAATCTTTTGGGTAGTACTTGAATTTGCATATTAAAAATTATGGTTACTAATATTTCTAAAATTCTAAGGATTTATTCCTCTGAATACAGTTATATCATTTGGTTTGTGGAGACTAGCATCTTTTTTCTTGGCAGGTCATTTAATTCTGTTTTATTTATATGATAGCTGACAATAGATGATAAAACTTAACCTTTTGTGCTGGAGAGATCACTCAGTGGATGGGAGCCAATTGCTGTTCTTGCAGAGGACTAAAGTTTATTTCCCAGAGTTCATATCAGGCAGTTTATCAGCAGCTCCTGCTCCAGAAGATCTGATGCTTTCTTCTTGCCTCTACAGGCACCCACACTTACATGCATACACATACAGAAGAACACATACACATAATTCAAAAAAGGTTAAATCTTTTAAAAATATCCTTTTTTTTTTTTTTTTTTTTTTTTTTTGGCCACCATAAGTTTTTTAAAAATGTTTTTACAAAAAGAAAGGGAAATGCACTGATCATACTCTACATAAATACATAAAATAAAAAATACTATATTTGCAGTATGTACAATTATCTGTTTTGGCCCTCTCCTCACTGCAGCAGAGGTTCAGAATTAAAAGTTGTTGTGGTGAGAATTGTTCAGTACACCCTGTGATAAGCAAGCAGCATTCCAAGTACTCCAGAATAGATAATGAACAAAGACCTATAACTTTGTAATTCAAGGAAATATTTGGTAGCAGAATACTCCTTTGCTTCTTTTTATTTCTGATTTTAATATTCCTTGTTCTCTATCTTTTCCTTCATAAGCCCATTTTTCCTTTTTTGTCATATAAAGTAAATATAGCCTTTTGAAATTATTTGATAAACATTATCAAATGATTCATTGCTTAAATAAGCAAACTCTTAGAATGTGATTTATTAATGCATTTTAAGATTTGACTTAAAGCTATGTTATATGAAAACAAAACTTTTCAATGTATTATTCAAATTTTTCTACAGATCTCCAAGTAAGCCTTTGGCACGGAAATTAATGGATTGGGAAGTAGTCAGCAGAAATTCATTATCTGATGACAGGTTAGAAACACAAAGCCTCCCATCCCGGTCTCCTCCTGGAACTCCCAATCAGTAAGTAGCAAGCCAGCATTGTGCTTGCATTTTTTCTATTTTCTAAATTATTGGCTACATATTTTATTGTCTAGAGATCATAATATATAAAAATTTAAGTTCTTTAATCAAATTTTCAAAAGAATAGTCTGATTGTATTTTACATGTGTGTTTGGTGTGTGTGTTATATTATTGTATTTTACATGTGTGGTGTGTGTGTTATATTATTGTATTTTACATGTGTGTTTGGTGTGTGTGTTATATTATTGTATTTTACATGTGTGTTTGGTTTTTGTGTTATATTATTGTATTTTACATGTGTGTTTGGTGTGTGTGTTATATTATTGTATTTTACATGTGTGTTTGGTGTGTGTGTTATATGTGAGGGCATTTGCATGTATATAATAGTAGACGTGGGGATTAGGAGACACTTGGGCTATCAGTTCTTCCAGTGTATAGGTCCCCGGGATTGAAATCAAGTCATGTGTGGTGGCAAACGCTCTACCTGATTAGCTACCTCACCAGACCCAAACTTCAAGCATTATTGCCTCTTTGCTTGCTGCTCACGGTTAAAGTGGCCTACAATAGCTTTAGGGAGTGAGTGAGTAGAAGATTGAAGGGCAGCCTTCACTTTCCTCAGCAGACTTTCACAGGAAGGGTAATGAAGGATCTAGTTATGACTAAAATTTCATAGAGTTCTTGTTTATGTGATTCATTTCTATGTAGATTTCCGCCTGGATTTTGTTTTGTTTTTATTTTTGTTGTATTTTGAGACAGGATTACTCTGTGTTTACAGCCTTGGCTGTCCTGGCCTTGAATTCACATAGATCTGACTCCCTCTGCCTCTGCCTCCCAAGTGCTGTGATTAAAGGTGTGTGTTCTCACCTCCTGGCTCCACCAGGGTTTCTAAGGGAGTATAAATTGTTTCAAAGTTTGATATGTTTGAGTGATTGTCATTCAGTGCTCTAGTACTTCCTGTGACCTAGAAAAAGATGTCTGACTGTAGTCCTATAAGCTCGAGTTGAGATGGGCCAAGCACTGTGTGGTGCAACTCCAACCGTGTGTGTACTGCATGCAGCCTAGGGTTTCTCACAAAGCTGCCAGGTTTTAGTATAGATAATAAGAAGAAAGGGAAGACTTCCTCAGAAATTCCACACTAGAAGGAAGGCAAGGGAAGGGGCAGAGAGGGTGTAGAGGGAGGGGGCCAGAAAGGAAGGGAGGAGTATAAGAGGGGAGTGACCTAAATAACAATAGCTCTGATTAAGTTTTCTAGGAAATGAAATCATTTTAAGGATGATCTGGGAAAGAAGTCAGTACAGCCCAATGATTAAGCAGTGGCTTAGAGTCAATGTTTAAATCTTGAAATTAATTTCCATCCTATTTCCTCATCCTCATCCTCATCCTATTTGTAGGTGGACACAATGGCATGTGCCTTTAATCCCAACATTCTTGTTATAGGAAGTGTCCTACAGTCTTAATATGCTATTAAATTAGGTAATAAATGAAAGGTACTTAGAAAAATACCCAGTATATACAAATGCTCAATTATTAACTATTGCAATTTCTGATTATAATGATGATACTTTTGTAACCACCAGTCAGGGTAGTTGGCTTCTTTATCATCAAGCCATAGGAATTCAAATTCCACAAATTTAAAACATTAAGAAGAAAAAATAATTGAGACTAGAATCTATTTCTGAATATTTATTCTAATCAGTTTCATAAATGTTGAATAAGGCATAAGATTAATAGTGACTGTACCTAGTCACATAGGTAAAGATAATAGTGGGATGGATAAAGGCCTTATTGCAGGTTGTAGACTGCAGTCATGTCTTGACTTCCCATTTTGTGTTCCTCCTGTTTATATCACTGTCAGAGATTCTGCATAGTTGTCAACATAGTTTTCCCTTGCTTTCTTTAAGGGATTTGCTGATTTCTTGCATTTATTGGTTTGGTTTTTTTTTTTTTTTTTCTTCCATTTCTTTAAGGGATTTTTCTCATATCCTCTTTGAGGGCCTCTGTCGTTTTTCTGAAGTTGTTTTTAAGGTTGTTCTCTTCTGCTTCATCTGTGTTGGGATGCTCAGGTCTTGCTGGCATAGAATCCCTAGACTCTGGTGGTGTCATCAGTCTTTCTGTTGTTGGATGTGCTCTTACACTGTCGTCTTCCCATCTCTTTTTCCAGTGCGTACAGGTGGTCTCCTCTCTACTGGAGATTGGAGGGGCAAGACAGAAATGGGCCGATGCTGGGTGCTTTGTTCTGCCTCCAGGTCCCTCTGGGGGATTTGGTGGCAAGACTATATGTTTCCAATTTTGTTTCTCACTGCTGAGATTGTTACACATGATTCAGTAAACCCAGAAACAAAAGAGTAGCTGAAAGGGGGAGTGTGGACTAAAGAAAAGCTAGCTAAAGGCGTTAAAGGAAAAGAGGGAGACACAGAGTAGATGTCAGTAGGGCAGATTGAGTTGATACTGAATGCCCAACATAGTCTTTATAACACACAAACATATACCTACTTCTTCATGAGACCATATAATCAAAAAACATGGAAAACTCAAATTAAAGTTTAGCCTTTGTCTCTCTTCATTTAGCCGGAATTCTGCATTCGCACAAGAGGGCACCCGGGTCCGACCGTCTTCAGTTGGTCATTTGGTAGACCACATGGTTCACACATCCCCCAGTGATGATTTTGTAAATCAGAGATCTCCGTCGTCAACACAAGCTAATAGCATAGTTCTGGAATCATCACCGTAAGACCCTTTTTCCATTTTTCTTCTAAAGTCTTTATTTTCAAATACCTTAAATTGCTTCACTTGAAATAATCTTGTGAATTAGAGTACTTGATACAAGGTGTTACTTATGTAATTATAAATACATATTTGTAAATGTATTTATTCTTGAAATTTTTTTGTTTTCTCTCTTCTCTTTACCCCCTCTGGTTACTGACTATTCTTTAATTTTTAGTGTATGCCCTCAAATATTTGTTAGGTAATATAACACTATAGTCATCAGGGTGTAGGAGAATGTAAGACAGTATTCTTAAAATTTTTTTCAAGGAAAAAACCATAAGTGTGAACAGAATGTTACAAAAAAAAAAAAAAAAAAAAAATCAAGGAAAAACAAATGAGATGGTTATCACATCAGTTATAGAAAGCATGACCACATCTCTCTCTTTTTTTTTCTTCATATTTTGAGACAGGGTCTTCCTGGCTAGCCTTGAACTCACAACCTACCTGTCTCTGCCCCCCCCCTCCAAGTGTGTACCACAACTCCTGGCTATCCAGTTTCTAAAGTATATTCCTATTATTTTTATACTGATTAATGAATTCAGCTTGTTATTTCAGTGTTGATAGCTATCAGTCTAATATATATTCTATTCTCATTCTAATAATATCCTTATATTAATATGCTGTCTTGATTTATTAGCCTATACAGTAGAAATAACTCCTATACATTTGACATAATTGGAAGACAATACCTATATAGTAACAGAGGGGTAAGAAATATATTGTTGAAGAAAAAGGAGTATATGATGCAGTATATAATGTATGTGATCAGTCTTTTAAGAAAGAATATGTCTTAGAGTAAGGAGTAAAAAAGAAATGAAGAGGTCACCCAAGTGACCCTATGTCAGCCATGGTTGTCTTTAGGCTAAACAAAGCTAAGCTGGCAGGACATGCAAAAGTCTAGCCTTAGTCACTTATATTATTGTAAAAAGACGTTGTGTATGTCTGCGTTATAAGGAATGGAAGAATATAACAAATATAGCATACACAATGAAACCTGTAAGAACTGAGTTGACAAGAGATAGAGTTGATGGAAATGTAGTATTTTATTACTTTGAAAATTATAACTCTTTTGTTAGGTTTTGGCAATTGTATTATCTAATTTTGAAAGTTTAAAAGTATGAAGTAAATCTTAAGACCTAACCAAACAATTCTATTTTTTTATATTAATTATATCCTTGAAAGGTTGCATGTTTTTCTAAACTGCCTGTTTCACTTACCTTGAGCATTAGTGTTTTAATTACTTTTGTGAATAACTGACCGAATACTTGAGAAAACCTATTAAATGGGGGGAAAGATGTGCTTTAGTTTACAGTTTCTTAGATTTCAATTTAGAGTCCTTGGTGGTTGATTCTGGGCCCATGGTAAAGCAGAACGTTATGATAGCAAGGGCATGCAGTAGAGACTACTAACTCGTAGTTGTCCAGAAGCAGAGAGAAATAAATGCAGAAGGGACCAGGACTAGGTACTTGTTGAGGATCTACCCCCAATAACTACTGTCTGCAGGAAGGTCCTACGTGCTGAAGTTCCACAACCTCCCAACATAGCTACCTCAAGCTAGGAACCACATATTTAACACATTGAGCCTAAAAGGAGTATTTCATGTCCAAACTGTAACAGTCATCTATCTAATAGTGTTTATTTAAGAAGTCCTCTCAACATCAGTACAAATCAGCCAGAGGGAAGAAACCTACATTTTAAGCCAAAATTTTACAATTTAAGTAAAGTTTCAAGTTAAATGTCTGGTAATAGCAGGGTTGACACTGGTAACAAGTTAAATGTGACACAATCTCTGGGTGTATATCTTAGAAGATGAGAGTCAGGTTGATATTAGAGTCTGTCTTAGAGGATAGCAGATTAGCAGACAGCCTTGGATGTCAGTCCTCTATACTTTCTACCTTTTGTTTGAGATAGCACTGGTTGGGAATTTATTGGCTTGGAATGCAGAAAACATCAGCAGCCCCTTGCTTTTATCCAGTGTTTAACAATTTATGATTCATACTCATTCTTCCCAGAATAACAAGATTTTTCATTCTAAAAGTTCGTGTTGTATTTAATTTTCAAAATGTACTTGTTAAAATTTTCCAAAAATAGTGAATGGGCCAAATATATGTTTGCCAAAATTGAACAATCCCTGAAATTACAAGCAGTGTCCAGGACAATAATTTCTAATCAGAAGCACACTGGGGAACCCTCCCCCCCCCCAGCTTTTAACTGTATATTTAGACTGTTTTAACCCACAGAAATGTGGATTTAACAGTTTTTTGTTTTTTTTTTTTTTTTTAAAAAAACCTCTCTTATCCATGCCATCCCTCTCACATAGCAGAACACTGCTACCATTATGCCCACGGCTGTCTCTGCTCAGATATTCCACAGCAGACCATGCTTCAATTGAGCCTGCTATGTGTTTTGGCCAGAACAAGAATAAGAAAAGTTTCTGTGACTCCACTGCTAGCTAATTTCAGCTGCACACACCCTTTTCTTCCAAGCCTTTGGCTTTGAGGGTAAATCTTCCCTGAGTAAACAGCTGTTTGCAAGGCCAGATAAACCTTAGATTTGGAAGCCACTTAATGCCCATGTTTTAGACACCTCTGACTCTCTACCAAAGGATGTCTGTTTTAATTCACCTTCACACCAATGCAGGCCATGGTCCAGGCCTGTATTCAGGATCATAGAAATGCTTCTCTGGACTAGCAGTGTTTGAATACAGTAGCTTTAGAGGCTTGTCTTCATGGCAGTTGAAAGGAACAGAAAAGGGGGAGGGGGAGAGGAACCTGTGATCCCTGGCCATGAAGGCAAATCTTAAGGAAGCTTTTATTGAAGAGAAAGGGTACATACCTGATGCAGTAATTAATGGATCTACTAGAATTTGGAACATTTGTGGATTACCAAAAACATTGAGAGAGGGAGATGGGTTGGGAGTGTTGGGAAGAGGATAGATTTAGGACGGATATGAGCAAGTTTGGATTTATATGAAATTGTCAAATAATAAGTAAAAGATGCTCTTTAAAAAAACTTGGAGTGTTTGCTCTCTGAATTGCTTTTAAACAGACACCTAGGTGAGTGGGCACTAATGTGGACTTATTTAACTTAGTTATATTTTATGCCAGGTTAGAAAATTTCATGACTGTTTCCTTAGCAGAAACTTCTCTAGGAAGCTATGAAGTCACACTATCCAATTTTAATTCACCCCATCCCCTCACCCCCAACTACCAGGTTCATGCCTCTACTGCCAAGGGAGAGAATGCATCCAAGGTTACTCTTGTCATAACCTTTCAGTTATCTTCAGTTAAATTGTGCTGTTATAGCAGTTGAGCCTCGCTTACATAAAAGAAGTGTTTGTTGCTATAATTGCTGTATGTTCATCATTTGTCAGTTGTGGCTCTGTCCCATACCAGGATTCTTGAGTGACAAGTCTCTGTTTGGTACATGGCTAGTCTCATGGCATGGAAGTCTCTTCAAGGAAGAAGAGTCATAATGAATCATGAACTATTTCTTAAAGCTTCCTTTTGCTGTGGAGATGACACATGCCACTTCAATCCATATTTTATCTACCAAAGCAAGTCATATAGCCAAGCCTGATGTCATCCCTGGAAAAGGGTAAAGGGTAGTCTTTAAAGATAACATCATTTAGACATCTATGATCAGTCCTTGAAAACGAGTAATGTTTGGTCAGCTCTATTCTTGATTATATCCGGAGCCATTTTTAGTGTTGGAGAGATGGTTCACATAAGAACACTTGCTGTTTTCTACAGTTCCCAACACTCACGTGATAGCTCAAAACTGTGACTCAAGTGGCAGGGAATCCAATACCCTCTTCTAGAAATGCATTTGATATACATACATACATACATACATACATACATACATGCAGATGAAACACTCACACATATTGAGTTTAAGAGTCAGTTTTATCCCAGCACTCAGGAGACAGAGTTTAAGACCAGCCTGGTCTACATAGTGAGTGCTAAGCCAGTCAGAGACCTTGTCTCACAAGGGGAACACACACAAAATTAAGAAAAACAAAACAAAGCAAAAATAACCATTTTTTTTATCATGCTGGGAGAACTATAAATTTACATGTAAAAGACTGAAACTAGTTCCCTTGATCTCATTTTATGCAAAATCAACTCAAAATGCATCAAAGGCCTTAATGCAAGACCTGATACTAATAGCAGAAGACAAATAGAAAGCACTTCAATAGCTCAGGAAAATAGGACAGCAAAAACTGACAAACAGAATTGCATCAAATTAAGAAGCTCTGCTTAGCAAAGGAAACAGTTTTCAGAGTGAAGAGACAGCCTGCAGATATTCATCTAATGGATTAGTATCTAGAACAAGAACTCGAAAAACTTGACAACAAAGAACCAAATAATTCAGTAATGAGTGGGCAGATGAACTGACCAAATAGTTCTTAAAACGTAGTACAAGCCATTGAATCCTTTCATTCATGTGGCCTGTTTTCACTTTTGATCATCATCTGACATACCTCTTTGCTTTGAATAAAGTTATGTTGCTACTGTAATTTAAAGAGTACAGGTGGCCAATAAACACATGAAAAAAAAAACATGAACAACATATTTAGCCACCATGGAACTGCAACCCAAAACTGCATTGATATTCCATTTCATCCCAATCAGAATGATTATGAGAAAAAATAACAAACAAACTAGGTGGTGGTGGCACATGCCTTTAATCCCAGCACCGTGGAGACAGAGGCAGCTTGATCTTTGTAATTTTGAGGCCAGCCTGGTCTACAACGCTACACAGAGAAAACCTGTCTCAAAAAAGCAAAAACAAACAAAATCCAAACAAGTGCTGGAAGTGTGGAAGGTGCATAAAGGAACCCTTGTACTCTGTTAATGGCAATTCAGAGTAATGCTGCAGAAATCAGATGATTCTCAACAACCTGAAAATAAAACTACCATGTGATTCATCTTCAGTACTCCCGGGATCAATGTCATCATACACTAATGATAAATACCCATGTTCACTGGGGATATTCACAGTAACTAAATTACGGCATTAGTCAATGTGCCCATCAGAAGAATGGATAAACAAACTGTAGAATATAGATACAATGAAGTATTAATTATTCAGCCACAGGAAAAAATGAAATCATGTTGTTTGGAGGAATTTGGATAGAACTAGAGATCATAGTGTTAAATAAGCCAGACCCAGAAAGAGAAATAAGTTTTCTGTCATGTGAAATCTAAATTTAAAAGGAAGTTGTTGAGAAAGGACCAAATACAAGGAGGAGATTAACACAAAAGGATAACGGAGAACAAATGTGATAAAAATACAGAATAGACATTGTATATATATAAAAATACCATTATAAAACATTTGTTCTGTTAATTTTTGCAGTTTATATATGTGAGTTTTAAGAGGAAAAAAGATGCCCGTTCCTGCCCTCTTTTGTCCGCAAGTCTGCTTTCGTGGGTGCCAGCATAGTAGGGTAGAAGTTGGACCATTGCTTCTTCCTTCTGGCCCTTGTGGGAAATTCAACTTCTGTTCTATAGACTGGTTGTTCTTAAAAGTTATAATTTCTCCTTTGAAATCTCTCCCAAATACCTAGCTATCAGTTCCTGTTGCCACAAATTAGAGTTAAACTTTCTAATGTTTATAAATTGTTTTTCTGACCTGACAAGATTCTATGTGGTTTTGTCTCATCAGTGATGACCTTACTATTCTAATCTCTGTCACATGATTGCATTTATTAACCTCATGAGCCCTGATGAAGGGGGACAATCAATAGATCATTAGACTATACCTACCAGGAGGTTTTTTCTGTTCAACGCCCAATTTCCAGGTCTTTTATTTCGAGGTTGTAAGTACATCATTTCTCCTTCCGTTTCCTCCTTCAAAAACCTCCCCATAATGCCCCCCCACTCTTTTTCAAATCCATGGCCTCTTTTACATTAATTGTTACATGTGTGTGTTCTATATATATATATATATATATATATATATATATATAGAGAGAGAGAGAGAGAGAGAGAGAGAGAGAGAGAGAGAGAGAGAGTGCCTGGACTGTCTGTTGCTGGTCTGCCTGCTTCCAGGGCTGACTATTTGGTATTGGATAATTAGTGTGCTCTTCCCTGGAAGAGTATTTCTCCTACTCGCAGCATTCTTCGGTTACCCTAGTTCTTGGTGTAGAGTTCAGGCCTTGCGTGCTTTTCCCCTTCCCCTTTGGATGTCTGCTGCTGTTGTCCTTGTTCAGCTCATGTATAGGCAGCCATGTTGAAGAGACTCTGTGGGTGTGGCTTCTGATGTTACTAGGAGATACAGTCTCATAGAACTCCCTGATCCTTTAGCTCTTTTCACCTTTCTGCAATGTTCCCTGAACCTCAGTTGCAAAGGTTATTCTGTAGATGTATCCACTGGGACTGGATTCCACCGCTTGGTTTTTTGATTAGTTAGGTTTTTCTGTAATGTTCTATGTCTGTTGCAAAGAGATCCTAGACTAGGGATGACTAGACTAGGGATACACCTATCTATGTGTATAAGGGCAAATATTTAGAGTGTAGTTAGGGATTATACTAGTTTAGTAAAGTAGTGACTGTAAGTTCTTGTCCAAGATCCATGAGTGCACTAACCCTAGGTAATTGGCTAGCTTTCCAGTACCAATCACAATTTCTCTCTTGTTGAGTGGATCTTAAGTCCAATTAGAAAGCTGTTGGTTACTACTGAGATATGTGTGCCACTAAATACCCTTGAGGTTATTGTGCCTTGATGGTGGTTGAGGTTCATAGGTGCTGTAATTAGGTAGGACTGCTTATTGATTGGTTTTATTAAAAACAGATTTACTACTTTAAAATGACTTTTTATTAAAAGGTAGCATTTCCAAGTAAATATATTCAAAGCCTCTCCACTTTAGTCATGTATGGTATCTGGATTGCTTGACCTAATTTAGAATAAGGTATTTCCAGCAGATGATTACTAAAAATACTCATTACCCCTTCCCTTTATTTTTTTTTAACCTAGATCACAAGAGACCCCTGAAGATGGGCAGCCTCCAGCTTTACCACCCAAACAATCTAAGAAAAACAGTTGGAACCAAATTCATTTTTCCCATTCTCAACAAGATCTAGTCAACCATAGTAATGAAACCTTTGATGTGCCCTCTTCCCCTGAAAAGTCCACTGTAGGTAGTCTCACTTTGTTTTGAATTTTTTAAATCTTTAATGCACTTTATTTTGAACTATAGTATGTTTTAGTTGTAAATTGTAATACTTTGTCTTTTTTTTTTCCTGGTTCTTTGATCATGATTCATACCATTATGGAGTTACCTTTTCCTTTCTTTGTAAAGTACCTGTTGCTTTGAGTTAATGTCTTAACAAATTAATTTTAATTTCAATATATAAAATATACATATGCTTTCAGAACAAATACTAATAATTAAGTAAATACTTACTTTAATATGTAATTTCTTAGTGCAGTCCCCCAACCTTTTAAAATTGAGTACAGATTCTGATAGTGTATTTGCACTCAACAGTTTAAAAAATAATTTATAACTTTTGATTCTCCAGAATATGCTTTTATACAATAAATGATGAGTTCTTAGAATCTTAATGATTTATTAATTATATTTCTCTAGAACATTTAAATAAGCCATAAGTGAGGTTACTAGTCTAAGAGTACAGTGTCCTAAAAAAGCAAGCTCAGTCATATGTAGATATGTTTCAGGAAATTTAAAGAGACATGAGGAAATTAAATATGATGCACAGAGGAAATTTCATCCATAGTAGGCATCAGCATCCAATGTCAAAGGCCTTTGGTGATTACTGTGCTCCCTGCCTTCCTGGTTATTTACTCAGAGCTTTTCCCATTACCAAAAGTTGAAACCATTCTATTTTCTCATGAGTACTGTTCCACTACAATAGACCAAATGAACAAAAGTGATGACTCTAGTGCTAACTCTATGGTGATGTTTATGTGTCTCCTCTTGCATGCATTGATTTATTTGTGGTTACTGCACTTGTATTTTGATGGAGGTGGTATGCAAAGATAATAATGAACACATGGCAGTTGTTATATAACTTGTAATCTAGTTTGATTCTTCCAAAAATATTTAGTATAGGCTAGAAGATAGCTTAGTTGTTTAAATTCTGACTACACAGGCACTAGGAATGTATAGAGAGGTGGATCTTTGGGGGCTCATTGACCAACCAGCCTAGCCCTACATGGTAAGTCCATACCACTAAGAGGTGCTCTCAAAAAACAAAATGGACAGCACCTGAGGGATGCTACCCAATGTTGCCCTCCAGTCTCCACAATTAGGCTTACTTACCTGTATACACACTTGCAAACACATTTGCCAGAAGAAATGAAGAATGAGAGAATGCATCTTCAAGTTATTAGGCAAAGAAACTAACTTTCTTCAACAAACCTTTTTCTTAGAATTATAATTATATACCATTGATAGTACAAGCAGATAAAATATATACTTTATAACCTGAAAATTCTTTATTTTTTGTCTTTTTAGCCTAATGGTGGCCTTCCACATGAAAATCTTGTTCTAATCAAAATGAAACCTGATGAAAATGGAAGGTTTGGTTTCAATGTAAAGGTAATCTGGAATTTGTCTTATTTAGTTTTTAAATTAAGATGTTCTTAGTTTGGTAGTATTTGAGTTTTCTGTGTGTTTTCCAGGGAGGATATGATCAGAAGATGCCTGTAATTGTGTCCCGAGTAGCACCAGGAACACCTGTAAGTTATCCAAAATTTTTTGTAAATACTGTTTTTAAGAATATATACTTTGGGGGTTGTAGAGATGGCTCAGTGGTTAAGAGCACTGGTTTCTCTTCCAGAAGTCCTGAGTTCAATTCCCAGCAACCACATGATGGCTCACAACCATCTGCAATGAAATCTGGTGCTCTCTTTTGGCATTCAGGGACATATTCAGGCAGAACACCATATACATAATAAGTAAATAAGTAAATCTTCAAAAAAAAAAAAAAAAAGAAAGAAAAAGAATATATATTTTGGGGCCAGTTGGTGGTGTCACATACTTTTAATCCTAGCACTTGGGAGACAGATGGATCTCTGTAAGTTCGAGGCCATAAGGCCAGCCTGATCTACAGAGCAAGTTTCAGTACAGCCAGGGCAACAGAGAAAGAAACCTTGTCTCAAATAACCAAGTGTGTGTGTGTGTGTGCGCGTGTGTGCGCGTGTGCGCATGTGCGTGCGTGCGTGCCTGCAGGTGTAATGGTTGCCTGTCTTTAATCCCAGCACTCAGGAGGCAGTAGGAGACAGATCTCCATTGAGTTCAAGGCTAGCCTGGTCTATTCAGAGATTTCTAGACCATCCAAAGCTAAGAACAAACAAACAAGAATACAGATGTAGTTTCTAAAGTTTTATGCATACAAGTGTTTTGTTTGCATGTATGTCTGTGCACCTCAGGTCAGAATGCAGTGTAGCATCCCCATGGAACTGGAATTACAGCCAGTTGTGAGTTACAATATGGGTCTCATGTTTTCAAAGAACACGTTATTCATATTTCTGTCTCTTTTATCTCCTTTATCTTTTTAAATTTTATGTGCATTGTTGTTTTGCCTGCATGTAAGTCTGTGTAAGGTGTTGGATCCTGGAGTTGCAGACAGTTGTGAGCTGCCATGTGGGTGTTGGGAATTGAACACCAGTCCTCTGAAAAAGCACTCAGTGCTCTTAACTGCTGAGCCATCTCTCCATCCCTGTCTCCTTTATCTTAATTACTGGGTGATTTTTCTCAATCAGGCAATCCTTACTGCAGTAGTACAGAACTGTAAAGGTGGCCACACAAGGTGAACTCATGCAATGAATGATTTGGAACCAATTGGAAAAATTATACTGTTTTCTTGATTTTTAGATCTATTTTCTATACTTTAAAGTCTTTTGTGCTGTCTGCTATAAAAATATTGAGGGATAAAAAAAATGTGTTCTGTTGCCCAAAACATCAGAAATATTGAAAAATAATATTTCAGTTATTTATGAATCCTTACTGCAAGTAATTTGAATAGTATAAAATTGGTAATACATAATAAGTCTCTTAACCTTACATTAGTAAAGTGTCATAATCCTCTGCATTTGGAACCTTGGTGTTGAAATAACTTGAGTCCCTTTGACTATTTACCTAGAGACCCAGACAGCCAAAATGCTCATATTTCCATCATCATATCTCCTCAGGTCAAAGTTCACTTCTGGAGTCCACCATGTTTTTTTTTCTTTACTTAGCTTTCATTTTCATCTTTTCTGGCTGGTTCCTCTTTTAGATTATTGCATGGTTTTCCACTGAAAATCTAGAAGCACAGTTGTGTTGTGTGCTTTGCTTCTTGGTCACAAACTAATTAATGGATACGCTTTAACAAGTGTGATGTGTTCCTTCTTTGCCTTTTAAGTTATTCTTAGAAGGCAATTAAGGTAGTCATCAATCTCATTATAGGGGGAGGGCAGTTAAGGTACTCCCTTCAATATTGCTTAGATTCTTAGTTGGGCTCATTCTTGTGGATTCCTGGGAATTTCCCTAGTGCCAGGTTTCTTGTTAACCCCATAATGGTTCTCTCTATCAAGTTGTCTCTTTTCTTGCTCACCCTCTCTGTCATTCCCCCAACTCAACCTTCCTGATCCTTCATTTTCTCCTTCCCATTCATCCCTCCTCTTTTCTCCTACCTCCCTCATCATTCCCCCTCTCTCCATCCTCCCAATTTACTCAGGAGATCTTGTCTATTTCCTCTTCTTGGTGGTGGTGGTGGGGGGAGCATCCATGTATGTCTCTCTTAGGGGCCTCCTTGTTTCCTAGCTTCCTTGGGGTTGTGGGTTGTAGGTTGGTTGTCTTTTGCTTTATGTCCGATATCCACTTATGAGAGAGTGTTTGTCTCTCTGTGTCTGGTTGCCTCACTCAGAATGGGTTCTTCTCATTCTATCTATTTGCCTTGGAATTTCAAGATGTCATCTTCCTCAGTCACTTTCTACCATGTCACCTTAGGTTTTGAGATGGTGTCTTGCAGTAAATGTGGAGTTCTGTGATTGGCTTTACTGGCTAGCCAGCCAGCTCCAGGGACTCTGCTCTGCCTTCAGTCCTGGGGTTATACGTTTCTACTATAGCACTTTCTGGGGCTTGGGAGTCAGGTCCTTGTGTTCGCCCAGCAAGTGCTTTACCGTCTGAGTCATCTATCTAGTCTTTCATGGATGCTTTGCTATATGTAGTTTAAGCTCTGCTGTGGTGTATAAAAAGTAAAGTTCTATATTTTCAGGATACCATGTGCATATTTGAACTCTTCCCTACATTATATTATAGGCTGACCTATGTGTCCCTCGATTGAATGAAGGGGACCAAGTGGTACTGATTAATGGTCGGGACATTGCAGAACATACCCATGATCAAGTAGTCTTGTTTATTAAAGCTAGCTGTGAGAGACATTCTGGGGAACTCGTGCTTCTAGTTCGACCTAATGGTAAGTACCTTGTTTAGCACTATTTGACATAATTTCTAAGTTTACTACTGGACATGGTAGCCAGAGTAGGCTTCCTTAAATATGACAGCGACATCTGTCATTCTTAGAGGAAAAAAAATCCAAAATCTTGGTTCCGTTATCTCCCATTCATACTATATTCACGTCTGTTGGGGCGATGGCTTTCTTACTGTTCCTCAAAAGCTCCAAGCTGATACACTTGAGGGCCTGTGTACTTGCTGTTTCCTCTGCAAATAGTTCTCGGTTTTGATGTAGCTCATGTCCCTGTGTCATTAAGGAAGGCTCTCTGCTTATTCTACCACATCTAAAGTGGCTTTCCTCTAACCACTCTAATAGCAGTGTTATGTAGTCAGTGAGTATTTGTTTAGTGAACACGTAAATCTCATTGGGTGGGGGTGCACATCTTTAATCCTAGCACTTGGGAGGCAGAAGCAGATCTGTGTTTAACACACGTTCCAAGACAGCCAGAGCTACACAGAGAAAGAGAAACACACTGAACCACCCACCTCTGTAGTCCTGCCTCATTTTCTTAATGTCTCTTCAAATTGTAAGCACATGGCTAAAGAACCCTTCTTTTCTCCAAAGGAATAGGAAAAGCCTTTCAACCCCACAGCCATTCTTGGTTCGTACACAATGGCATCAGCCAGATCTAGAGGAATTATTGATAACTGACTCTATAGAAAATAACTAGTAATTTCTTACTGAATTCTATTAAGATTCTCATGTATGTGTTTTGTTTTATTTTAGCTGTATATGATGTAGTGGAAGAAAAATTAGAAAGTGAGCCAGACTTCCAGTATATTCCTGAGAAAGCCCCACTAGATAGTGTTCATCAAGATGACCATTCCCTTCGGGAGTCAATGATCCAGCTAGCTGAGGGGCTTATAACTGGAACAGTACTGGCACAGTTTGATGTAAGTGATATCATTGTATTAAAACACTATTTGCTAATTAGTTTGTGGTAAGAGCCTAACTAACATACTATGAATTAGCCTCCCAACTGGTTGATGTCAAAAGTTCTAAAATGTAGTTTTTAAATTTATTCTCATAATACTAATTATGACTATATAAATAAGTGTCTTTTTGAAAAAAGTATTAAGGGCCAGGCATAGTGGCTTATACCTGTAATCTCAATAAAGCTGAGGCAGGAAGATGTTCATGAGTTCAAGGTCAGTCCAGAATAGTGAGACCCCCTCAAAGTTTACAAGTGGTAAAGACATCTTAAATGGCTTTCCCTGTAATTTATAGCTCTTTTTATGAAAGGGAGAAGGTAAGGATAGTGTGTTGTGTACTTAGAGCTTGAGCAAAGCCAAATGTGACAGCACACATCCTTTGTTGTTCTCACATCTGCAGTGATGCAGTTTTCTCTGAGCTTGAGGCCATCTTGGGCTACATGTAGCAAAGGCCTTGTCTCAAAAAATAAAATAAAAATAAATGAAACTCCCAAGTTAAAGGAAATAACTGGTATTTCAAGTTCATATTTTGTCATATTTAGTCTTTGTTTAGTTTTGTCTGTAAGTCTTAAAACCCCTCAGATCAATATCTCAGAAGAACAAAGATGCTTCTTCACGCCTACTCTTTATTTTGATTAGTTAGTATATAGTGAATTTTGAAGGTCTGTATTTAAAACAGACATGTCCCGCCTGTGGCCCACAGGGCTGTATACATCCAGGATAGTTAATTTATAAATACACTCTGCTACATTTGTAGATGGCAATATCCTGTCATAGTGAACTTAATTTATCTTTACTAAATCTAGGAATTTTCCCATGTGTGTAAAAAAAAAAAAAAATAGCCATCAATGTTTTCCATTCTCTAGTATATGTTGTATATAAATGCTTGTAATAAAACATATAAGACATGTATCTTTTCTTTTAAAAAAAAAATATCAGTTTGTTTATTGTGAACACTTCTAAAATAAAGCCAAATGTTCTCTGCAGATTTGCTATTCAAATATCAGGTATTTTGATGACAGAACTGCTTTCAGAGTTTTCAACATAGCTACATAATGCATGTCAAAAGTTACAGGACCGATACAGTTGTGGGTCAGCACTCTACAATTTTGAAGAGTATCATAGTGTGTGTGCAGTATGGGGGTGGGGTTTCCTGTCAGAATAGAAGCTAATCTGCAGAACCACTGATGACTTATTGGACTGTTTCTGTTTGTCTATTTGTTTGTTTTTAAAGCAACTATATCGGAAAAAACCTGGAATGACAATGTCTTGTGCCAAATTACCTCAGAACATTTCCAAAAATAGATACAGAGATATTTCGCCTTGTAAGTATCTATTAACTCTTACCATCATAAGCTTAATCTTTGAAATGAAAGTTTATCAAAGATTTTTATGGCCAGAGTGTAAGTTAATGTTAGAGTATTATGCTTTGCATGTGCCAGGTTTTGGTGGTTTAATCTGAAATATCAAAACAAAAAAGAAATCCATTGTTTCTTTTAAAATTTTTTAGATGATGCTACACGGGTCCTTTTAAAAGGTAATGAAGACTACATCAATGCAAACTATATAAATGTAAGTTCTTTGTTTTTGCTTTTGTTATTGAAATAAATGAAACCATTGTAAATTTTAAGATTAATTCTTTTTTACTGAAGGCCTAACTTTGATAGAATATTAAAACTTGAAGATAGGAACATTTTATCAAATCAAGGTTTTAAAAAGTAAGGCAGGACCAGTGGTGGTGCAGGCTTTTAAACCCAGCACTTGGGAGGAAAAGGTGGATCTCTGTTAGTTCAAGGCCAGCCTGATCTATAAGAACTAGTTCCTGGACAGCCAATGCTACACAGAGAGACCCTGTCTTGAAAAACAAACAAACAAACAAAATCAAATCAGGTGTGGCAGCACATACTCTTAATCCCCAGCATTCGAGGCAGGACTGGAGGATCCTGATATACATAGAAAGCTCCAGGTCAGGTCAGCTAGAGACTCACAGTGAGACCTTGTCTATCCCCCACTCTCCCCTAAGAAAGCTAAAGTAATTTGGTTCTGCTATATTACTATGTAGTTGGAACAGTACAACAGACTAATCAGCTCCAGAAATAGAATAATCTATTGTTACTATAATGCTACCGTAGGCTCTGTTTATAGTAGTGGCAGCCTTTTAAATCCCTGGAGATAAAAACAACCTATCTGGTGAGTTATTTGGGTCACGTGTCATTGTTAGGAAGATGATTTCTCCCAGCTATTGAAGGAAAAGATCACTTTTTCCTTAATTTTATAGTATAGAAAATTTCAAATGTGTAGAATTGGAGCAGAAAGTGAAATGAAGGGACTGGACAGGTGGCTGAGGGTACTGACTACTTCTGCTCGGCACTAGAGTCCAGTTCCTAGCACCCCACCTGGAGCCCTCTTCTAACCTTCACGTGCTCCTACGTGTACACACACACACACACACACACACACACACACAGGGGAGAGGGAGGGAGGAGAGGTACTCACAAATAAAAATGGTTTTGTTTTTGTGTTTTATACTGTAAAATCAACCTTCACATACACATCACTTAATTGGACCATTGAACTCATGGGCAGTGTTATTCCCTATGTTCCCACATTTAGATTGTTATATAGCATAATTGTACACCACTTTCTCATCTATAAGTACTTCTCCTATTCAGTTTTGACGGTGTCATCTGTTGAAAATACATCAGTATATAAATTTGAAAAGTGGAATCATGGAAGAAATATGTGACAATTATTAAGTATTTCAGATGGGGAAACATTTTGTTAAGCTGGATGGATTGGATAAATACCTAATCTACAAACAGCTAGACTATTGGTGAATATAGTCTCTGCATTTGAGAGACTGAGGCTCCTTCAAGTTCAAGATTTCCAAACTAGCCAGGGCAGGACAGCAAGACCTCAATCTCAAAAGGACAATCAAAGAGTCACATTTTGTCATATTCTGTCAGCTAATCAATGTGTAATTTCACTCAAAAACTTTAAATAATAATGATAATGGAAAATCTTTATATTTGGTACACTTAAGGGTGCTGAGATCAAATGACAGTCTGTATTTTTAAAATGCCGTCCAACTCAGAGCTAGAGAGATATCTCAGGGGAAGAGCACTGACTGCTCTTGTGGAGGATCTGGGCTCAGTTCCCGGCATACACATGGCAGCTCACAACTGTCTGTAACTCCAGTTCCAGGGGATCTGACACACACACAGACAAACAGACATGCATGCAGGTAAAACACCAATGACATTTAAAACAAAACAAAACCACAGTACTATTATGAAACTTAGAGAAATAGTATCACAATTAAATGAAAATGTACTCCGTTTTCAAAACAAAGTACAAATTTAGACTACATAGAAGTACTGTTATTTACCTATGAAACTGAAAGACCAAAGATTTGATGATAACATATGTAAGTCTAGTTCTTTATCTGAAGCCTTAGGTTTAAGTATGCTTTGGGGCTCAAAATTTTAGATTTCAGGATTTTTTTTTTCTTTTTTTTTTTTTTTTTTAAGAATTTACACTTCCAGCACTCAGGAGGCAGAGGCAGAGGCAGGTGGATCTCTAAGAGTTCGAGGCCAGCCTGGTTTAAAGGACAAGTTCCGGACAGGCCCTAAAAGCTACAGAGAGACCCTGTTTCCAAAACCCAAAAAAGAAAAAGAAAAAAATCAGTCCATGTACCAGTCCTGTAGGAAGAAGTAAGGTCCCTAGCAGGATATGGGATAAGGACCCTTTTATTTTTTTATTTTTATATTGATATTACATTAACATTCTGAGTCATACTAATAGAGTATAACTAACCTTAAGGTCAATCAAAGTCAGATTTTGCTGTCAAATGCTTTCAAGTGAGGTCAAATTTAAAATGCCTTCAAGTCAGGACAAGTTTTAAAACACCAGAGGCAGTTTTGCATTTCAGACTATTAGTAATTTCAGAGCTACGGATAAGGGATTGTAGATATATTAGCCAGTACCAATGGGAATAGGTCCCTGTGTGTTGTTGGTTGAAATATGGAGAACATTATGTATGGGATTGTCAGAATGTGAAGTGTGCATACATTTTGGTGCCGCGTCCTCATTTCTTCCTGTTTCCCTTATAGATAGGTGCACTTTTATATTTGCTAATGTCAAATTAGAGAAGTATTCAGTTTAACCTTCTTACTGCTGACAAACAGTAACAATGCCTTAAATGTCTTTTAAATAAAGTACAGGTGGTTTGTTATGCTTTTAGAAGGGCCATTAAAAGAAAGAAATTTAGGCACTAATTTTGGCATTGTCTTTCGAACGATATAGGACAGTGTACTGTGCTATCATTTAAAAAATAGTTATACAGAAAAATAGTTGTGTACAGACCGTCTATGTGAAAGAGGTGCTAGAAACTAGGAAAACAAATTACTTTCTGGTGATAACTAGAGACAGTTTGGAGGAGGAGACTTCAAGTATGCACCATTAATCACTATGTGTAGACATCACCTTGTTAAAATAAACCTCAGCTGTAACTCAACTGTGGTTCCCCTGTATTTTTTTTTTTTTTTGTTTTATTCCATTCCATAAACAATTTTAAATATCATTCTAATAGCCCTTCATTTGTTTTATGAGCATAATACAGCTAAAATGCAGAGTTTTCTCTTAGGAAATTTACCAATTAAAGTATTTAAAGATAATTTTTAAAAATTATCTTGCAAACTCTCTGCCTCTAAAACAAATTTCTCTGTAAAGCTGTCCTATAAGTCACAGTAGTGCCAAATATGGTCATAGCTTTCCATAATATATGTGAGGCTGGGATACATAGTGAGACCTTGTCTCAGAGAGAGAGGGAGGGAGGGAGGGAGGGGGGGAGGGAGGGAGGGAGGGAGGGAGGGAGGGGGGAGGGAAGGAAGAGAAAGAATTTGGAAAATATTTGTTTTTTAAATTCTTCTTCCCACCAATGGAATGATGACTATGTATGACTTTGGACATTGACAGGAAATTTTTTTACAAATGAAATTATTAACGAAGAGTATTGTACTAATCAGTTTATTGAGATAGTTGTGTTCAGTTTAACATTAATGAATGTTTTTCATCTTCCCAATCATAGGAAAAAGTCAAAATGCAAAATGTTTAATGTCTTTTTCCTTGTAGATGGAAATTCCTTCTTCAAGTATTATAAATCAGTACATTGCTTGTCAAGGGCCATTACCACACACTTGTAAAGATTTTTGGCAAATGACTTGGGAACAAGGCTCCACCATGGTGGTGATGTTGACCACACAGGTTGAACGTGGCAGAGTAAGCTGTAGTTGAATTTTATCCATTACTTGGGCTCTTTTTTAATTACACTGTGTTTATGTACTCAGAATATTCTTTAATCTCTTCTTGTTCCATGCTTTGAATTATTACAGCTAAATGCTTCAGAATGTGCCTAACACAATACTTGTGTATTTGTTTAAAGTCATGTATATCTAAGAGGCTTGTGTATGGAATATGTAAAGATTTCTTATAAGTTAACAGTTAAGTGATATGGTCATTTAAAATTCTGGCAAAGGATCTAATTAGACAATTCTCAAGATGATACACCAATGTCTGTTAGCACATAAGATACTGTATATCAAAAAAGTAAATGTAAATCAAAGTCACAATGAGACACTACTTTATATAGTAGGCTGAAGCAGACAATGGCAAGTGCTAGTGATAGACTGGAGAAAATAAAATACAACACTGTGCTGCTTTCAGATTGGTAATATGTGCAGTCACTTTGGCAAAGTACGGCAGTTCTCAAAAGGTTAAACAGTATTTCTGTAAGTCATTAATTTCAGTATTATATATACCCAAGGAATTGAAAATATGTCCATGCCTTCACAACATTAGCCATGATATGGAAATTCACATATTCCAACTAAATTGTAATATGTCCAATTACTAAAGAATATTTGGTAATAATAATAACTGAAGTACTGATATTATAATTTGGGTGAGCCTCAAGAACATTATACTAAGTGAAATGTTCTGACAACAAAAGTTATTGTATGATTTCACTTTTATGAAACATAAGTATAGTAAATAGATTAGTAGATGCCCAAGTTCATGTTTGAGAAAGAAGATGGAAGGGGATAGAATTCACAGCAACTATTAATGAGTATAGGGAGATTTATGCTATGGTGAAAATGTCAAAAGGTGATTAGGGTAATGGTTGCACAGTTCTATGAAGTGTGCTAAAAGCAATTGCAATGGGTCGGCTATATGATAATAAGACTGGAATTAAATAGTACACACACATATGCACACACAGAGACCTGTGGTAAAACTCTATTCAAGATAGAGCCACACTGATTGCTTATTATTATTACAAAGAGTTGTAAAAATGTGAATAATCATGGGGCAAGATGGCTAAGTCTATAAAGCGCATGGAATGCAAGCCTGGGGACCTGAGTTCAGATCTCCAGCACCCTTGTAATAGGTATGGTAGCATGTATCTGTAGTGCTAGAGTTGGAGAGGTAGGGCAGATACAGATCCCTGAGCTCATTGTCCAACCAGCTTGCCTATCCAAATAGGATAAGCTCCAAGTACAGTGACAAACCCTTTCTCAAGGAAGTTAGAGAATGATGGAAGACACCCACCACTGACCACTGTGCTATGTGTGCACATGCTCACTCATATATGTGTGTGCGCGCACACACACACACTCATGAAATAAACACATGCACACATAAAAACATTAGTAGTTGGAGATCTAAGTGAAGAGTGTATGAGAACTGAATGATTTTCTGTAAACTTGAAAGTTTTTAAACATTAAAATACTTTGAAAGTTGGAGAATTTAAATTTTTACACCTAAATATGTAATTTTGTGTATTTAATTCTGTTGATAATCAGGTTAAATGTCACCAGTATTGGCCAGATCCCACAGGAAGCTCATCCTATGGATGCTATCAAGTCACCTGTCACTCTGAAGAAGGAAACCCTGCCTATATTTTCAGAAAGATGACACTGTTTAACCAAGAGGTAAGAAGTCAAGAGTGTGCATTCGGAAGAATGCTATAAAGACTTTGAAAGCGGAAAGTGTCTGAGTAGTAGTTACTGGTAATAAGAATTACTCCACTGTTGGCTAGGAAGATGGTTAAGCAGTTAAGAACACGTGCTGCACAGTCTTCAGGGCCGGAGGTCTGATTCCAGAACTGAGATAAGAAGCTGAGCTTAATTGCAAGTGCCTGTAACACCAGCTCTGAGAAATCAGAGACACAAGGCTCCCTGTGGCTTTTTAAGTTCCACCATAGCTAGTCTACAGGACTAGTCTACAGGAATGACTACTCATAAATTCACATAGACACATGTACTCATGTGTAAGTATCAACTGTTTGCTTTACACATATTACTCTTCTGTATTTTAATTAATAAATGTATTTTTCACTTCTAGTGATAAATATGAATAGAATTAGTGAAAGGAGTTTGGCAAACACTATTACTATTACTAGCTTGCTTATTCATAGCATTTGCTTATAAAAAATTTAGTGCAATCAGTATTAGTAAAATTATTTGGATATTTCTGGGGCAATTGGTAAAGCTGTTGAACCATGTCAAGTTGTTTCATGTTTTTCAAATAATGGAGAAGAGCAACATCACAATCTTGGGGAAGAAAAAGTTACAGGCAAGGCCTTTTGACAGCAAGCAGATTGCAACTTTCTGACTGCTTGCTTTTCTTAGTTCTACCAGTCTTTCCTTTTGGCTTCCAAAACCAAAAGTAGACACTGATTAATGAATGATGGCTTAGCCCCTAGTTGGAATACATGTAAAGGACATCATGCTGCTAGTCCTGGCAGCCTCTGGAGACTGTGTATCTCGTTTTCACTGCCTGAAATTCATCCTTTCCCTGACAGCAACCCATCATTTTGTGGTTGTCACTTTTGTTTATGAAACAGGGTATTACTACATAGACTTGGCTGGTCTGGAATTGGTACATAGACTGGGCTGGCCAGAAACTCATGCTGCCTCTCCCTCTCAAGTGCTGGGATTAAAAGCCTACACCACCACACCCAGGGACGCTGCCTGCCATTTTTAAAGTGGCCAAAAGAAGGAAGTAACTGCAGCGTGATCTGTGAAGTCTCAGGCCTTTCCTTCAACAGTTAAACCTTTAAAAGTGACAAATGGGGTGGAGCCTCTCTTATAATAAAAGGAAGGAAGCAGGAATCTTTGAAGGAAGCTAAAGTTATGGGGGGGGGCTAAAATCCATTCAAATAAGAATCAATTAAGGATTTGGTGGTACATATAAATACGTGATCTGTAGGTTGAACCATTAAGATAGTTGCTTATGTTAATCTTTATTTTCCCAAGTAGATAACCAAGAGAAAGATAGGTAGATGTGTGTGTGTTTGTCAGTGTAGTCCTTTTTTTGAGTATCTATAATTAGCCATTGCATTTTTATTTGTATATGCTAAATACCAAAGAACTATGCAAAGATAAATTAATTTTAAAATGTGAACCAAATATAATTGACAGAACAAATTTTCAACAAACATAAATGCACATATACTAATAGACAATGGGTAGGTAGCTACTACTCCCACATCTTGGTTAATTCTTACTTCCAAGATCTCCAGATTGAATGATGTTGAGTGATAGTCACCTGTTTTAAAGTGTGTGAATAAGTGGTTTGATTTTATTTAGTTTTTCATAAAGCCTTTTTCAACCTAAAGATGGCCCTGTGGAGTAGTAGGGGGTCATTTCATTTTTCACATGAAAGAAGGAAGCCCTGAAATATTAAATCCCGTAACTGACAGATTCAAGATTTCAGCCAAGGCTCTTACTTTCATTATACCCACCATTGCGCCAAGTAGAATTGATCCTTACTCCACTTTGTGTTTTCATTCTAATTTTTAATCTGTGTATACTTGGGAGTCTTTATTTAAATTTTTCCTATACCCATGTGTGTGTGAGTGCCTGTGCTTCTGTCATGGTGCCCTTTCGGAGGTCAAGTGACAGCTTGTAGGAATCTAGTCTCTTTTCCACCATGTGGGTCCCAGAGCTAGAGCTTCAGTTATCACTCTTGGCCACAAGCGATCTTAGCTCACGAACCATTTTACTCTCCTGGGGCTTTTTCCTGTCTAATCTCCACAGTTTCATTTGTGTTGGCATGTAAAGATTAGTTCAATTTTTGTTCATATACAAAAGTAGTTACTTTACCCTCTTTGTTCACCCGGAATCTCTCTTAGGAAATCCTTTAAGTACTTGTGTGACTGTTTATTTGATTACTGTGTTCAAAATACTTCATAAATATAGAAACTGAGTTGTAAAAGTATAGTAATATGCCAGGTGGTGGTGGCACACACTCAAGCACTCAGGAGGCGGAGGCAGGTGGATCTCTGTGAGTTTCAGGCCAGTCTGATCTACAAAGCAAGTTCCAGGACAGCCAGATAGCCAGCCCTATTATACAGAGAAACCCCATCTCAACCTCCCTGAAAAAAGTATATTAATATAAATAACTAGCCCTTAAAAGGATACAGCTTTTTCTGTGAAATATTCCCCTTGTGTTAAAATGTTAGGTTTTAATGAGTTTATACACTGTGGCAAGAGGAAAATTAAAATGAATGTTTAGACATTAAAGGCAATTCCTATGTGAAAATGTGTAACTTTTCATTTTCATTTAGAAAAATGAAAGTCGTCAACTCACTCAGATTCAGTACACGGCCTGGCCTGACCACGGAGTGCCTGATGATTCCAGTGACTTTCTGGATTTTGTTTGTCATGTCCGAAACAAGAGGGCTGGAAAGGAAGAGCCGATTGTTGTTCATTGCAGGTATTTTATTTCCTCCCCTTAATGAATGAATAGAATGCGTAATATATTTTGGCCTTTTATTGTGATTAATACTATGATATTTAGAGTGAAAGCTGTGCTCCAAAGGTGGAAGACAAAGGAGCATTTTAACATTGCTGTGTCAGAAACCATGGAAAGGAAAAAAATTAGCCATTTTCCTATTTCTTTTCCTATCTTAATATCCTGAAATTGGAATGTGTCTTACAATTGGCTTAACTTAAATTTGATGAAATACTATATTTATCTTCATGTGTTTGTGTTGATATGACAGGATATTCAAAACTGTAGTTTATAAAAGCAGGAATGTCGTTTTCAGTTTTCGATTGCAAAACTAAGTGTGGCCAGCAGAGGCCCTTAGTACACAAACAGGGGGAGCTAAGAAAGTGAAGACAGCCCTGTGGGTCTCTGAGGCTTAGCCGGTGTGGAAAGCATCCGATTGTTGTCATCCTTCTTTTGTATTTTAACATTTTTGAGATGAGGTCTCCAGTAACCTGTGCTGGTCTTGTACCGTTTTTGTAACTGGATAACCCTGAAATCCTGATCATCGGTCCTCCATTTCCCCTATTCTGGGGTTACACATGTATACTGCCATTCCTGTCTTTAAAAAAATAAAACTCTTAACGTTTTTTATTTTTTTAATTCCCTCTGAATTTATCTGTTTGTGTTTTTCATTATTCAACATGATTTTTCTTGTTTTTAATCTCCTATTTCCCCCCTCCCTTTTATAACTTGTCTCTATTCTTTTTCCTTTTATTTAGAATTGTTTTTTGCATCTGTTTTCTCTCCTTTCCTAGCTTCTTTATCTCATTCATTACTGTTTCCAAATTTGCTCTAAACGATTTTTAACTCAACCGTATACTTTCCATTAGTTTTGCCAGTTTCTCTTCTTTGGTCATTGATGGTATATTATGGGCTTTGACCAATTTTTTTGTTTGGTTGGTTTTAGTTTTGTTTGATGTAAGGTTTCTCTGTGTATCCTTGGTTGTCCTGGAACTTGCTCTGTTGATGAGGCTGGCCTCAAACTCATGTCTGATCCACCTGTCTCTGCCTCCTGAGTGCTGGATTACTTCGCAGCTGGGCTTTGGTCAATTTTAACTGCATATCACATTCAGTGTAGTGTTACTGTTGATAAACCAGTTTGTTTTCCTCTCCCTTAGCGGTATTGGAGGTTTAGCCTGTAAGAGTAGGCTTACTCACTAAGCAAATCATCAAAGAAAACTGGAATGAAAATCCACACCAGTAGACACATAAATTAGGTCATAGAAATACTCCTCAATTACTGAATTCAAAGATACTAAACCAGATAAAATGTTGGGTGAGTTAAAACATTTTCTTGTAAAAATAATCAATGACTTCAAGCAACATACAAAACAAACAGATAAATGAACTAAAGATTTCACATTGGAATTTGGAAAGAAAACTGGCAACATGGGGGACAAAGTAAGCAAAGTAGTAGAAAAGTTAAATTGCACAAGAATGAGGAATTAAAGAAATTGAGATTAATAGAACAAATAGAAATGTTGGAAATGAGAAACTGAATTGAGCAAAATTTAAATATAGACTGTAGAAATCGTCACCAACAGGCTAGACTATAGTACAGATATAAAATCCAGAGACAGATATTGGGGTTAAAGGGGAAAATCAGAAAAGCAAAGGAGCCAGCCACTCCAGAGTTCTTACTTCTACCAAGAGACCAAAGGGGAGTTCCTGTCCTCAGTGTGACTGCAGACTGCGATGCTCTCCACCACTGCCTGACCTTTATGTGTGTCTAGCTTTGCAATCTGATCTTCAGGCAAGCTTTATTTGTTAGATCATAAACAAAATATTACCATACGAGACTAAGCAACAACAATAAGAGAACATCAAGATTGTGGACAAGATTGAAGAATGCTATACAAACATGATGGTTTAAAAGCAAGCAAATAAAAAGGCCCAAGCATGACTTTCAAAAACTGTAAGATATGCTCAAGAGAAAGAACCTAGGAATCCAGGGGGCAGAATGAGTCAGCATAAAAGCTAATGCTCTAGAAAATGCATTCAATGAAATCCTAGCAGTTTTCCAAGCCTTGGGAAGAATAAACACCTAATCCCAAATGGTATTTAGAACCCTAAATTACATGACCAGGAAAGAACCTCTCCATGGTGCAGTGTACTGGAAATGCCCAAAGAGTAAAACAAACAACAATGTTAAAAATTGTTAAGAGTGGGCTGGAGAGATGACTCAGCTGTTACAGGCTAGGCTCACAACCAAAAAGCTGTAAGACAGTCAGGCATAGGGAAACATATTTTGATACAGAGGAAAGGAAACCTTTGTGAGTATATGGCCAGCCAGGACTACATATTGAGCCCCTTTCTCAAACAAAACAAAACAAACTGTAAGAAAAAAACAGCAGCTCACTTATAAAGGCAAGCATAGGGTCTGCAGAGATGACTCAGCAGTTCAGAATGCTCACTGCTCTTTCAGAAGGCCTGGGTTTGACTCCCAGCACCCACACAGTGGCTCATAACTTTTTATAAGACTAGTTCCAGAGGAGTTGATACCTTCTTCTGACTTCTTGGGCCAGGGATACATGTGATAAACATACATAAACACACACTTCACAATATGTAAATCTGAAAAAACATTGTTGAGATGGTAAATTGGTTGTTTGGGGGGAGGGGAGGCAAGCACAATAGACCTTGCAACAGAAATGTTAAGAGCCAGAAAAGCATGGAATGGTATGTGTCAAGCCCAGAAAGTGAGTAAGTAGTAAAGCTGCTGTATCCAACAAAGCTACCATTTAATATGAAAAGACATTTCAACACTAAAACTGTTCACAACCTCTAAGTTAGCATTGCAGAAAGTACTTAAAGGGATCCTAAAAAACGGGAGTAGGAAGGATATGCCATAGAGCACAGGAAAGAGTAAATTACAAGAGAGGACTAAATGAGCAAAGGATACCTAAAGCCATTATTCTGATAAAATTCCTAATGCAGATAGGGAAAGTGAAAAGAGCAATCATTAGTCTAAGCAACTACAACAACCAGAAAAATTATAGGAGGAAAGTGGGAGGGGAAGAAAAGGGAAGGGAAAAAGAAAGAAAAGGAGAGAGAGAAGAACTATGCTCCCAACATAATAAAAACTGACAACAAACCTGTAGCCAATGTTATGCTAAATGCAGAAAAACTGAATATTTTCTCTATAGTCACGAACAAGACAATTCAGACACTGAACATAGCACTCTATACTTGGTTTAGTATAATCTCAAAATCTTTCCCAGAATAATAAGGTAAGAGAATGAAAGATGTAAATAATGAAGGAAAAAGATAAATTAGCCCTAATTTCTGGTCACTCAGAATGGCCATCATCAAGGAAATAAATGATGATGAGGATGTGGAGAAGGATGAGCCCTTATTCACTGCTAGTGAGAATACACTTGAAGCATTGATGCCAAGTCAACACATCACAGAGACGCTTACATGTCTGTATTTATTGCTACACTGTTTATAAATAGCACAGATATGGAACCAGTTTATATGCCCAACAACAGATGAATGAATGAGGGAATGTGGTGCATATGTACAATGAATTCAGTGTAAAGAAGAATGAAAAATGTCATTTATAAGAAAGCTAATCGAATTTCATGCAGATCATTATATTAATTAACGTATGCCCGGTTCAGAAAGACAAATTTTGAATATTTTTAGTGATATTTACATAAAAATACATAAAAATAAAAAGAGGACTACAACATCGAAAGTAAAGAATGGAAGGGAAGAGGGAAAATTAATGGGAACAATGGAATGTTCTGTGTTTGTTTTTTAGTTTGGTTTGGTTTTTGGTTTTTCAAGACAAGTTCTCTATGGGTTTGGGGCCTATCCTGGAACTAGCACTTGTAGAGCTTGTAGACCAGGCTGGTCTCTAACTCACAGAGATCTGCCTGCCTCTGCCTCTGCTTCCTGAGTGCTGGGAATATTCTGATTTTTATCATAGAAAATCTAGATATGAGTACATACATATATTTAAATATATACATATGACATGAAAGTATAAAAGGGACTAATGGTAGAGGGTTAATGAGTGGGAGGAGGTTAAATGTGAGCAAAGTATCATGGTATGCATGAAAAATGTCATGAAATCCATTTTGTATTCTAACTAAAAAAAAACTAAATCAATAAAAATAAATTAAGAGGCCAGTGTCAGGGCTGGAGAGTTGGTGGCTCAGTAGTTGAGTACTTGTTTGTACAGAGGACCAGGGTTCAGTACCCAGCACTCACATGGTGACTAACAACCGTCTTCAACTCCTGTTGCTGGAGACGTAGCCTTCTTCTGACATCTGCTAGCACCAGGCACATGCACATGGGGCGCTTGTAAGCATGCAGGCAAAACACTCATGTAGATGGAAGTTTCTGTCCTGCCCGGTCCTGCAGGCATTCAGTCCCAAAGAAACACACAGAGGCTTGTATTAATTATACTGTTTGCCCAGTGGCTCAGCTTCTTATTGGCTAGTTCTCTCTTAATTATTAACCCATTTCTATTAATCTGTGTATCTCCATGTGGTCTTGGCTTACCAGTGATGTCTGGGCCTCTTCCTAGGCAGCTATATGACTCCACCTACTACCTTTCTCTATCTCTGTTTGGATTTCCCACCTGACTAAATACTGCCTGTCCATTGGCCAAAACAGCTTTATGCATAAAACCAATCAGAGAAACATATATTCACAGCATACAGAAGGACATCCTCCATTATACTCATACACATAAAAATAAAATATTGCTTTAAAAAACAAGATTCAATGTTAAGAATGATAAGATATGTGTGGCTTCTTTATATTAGAGATCTTCAGTAACTACTATAGTTATGCTCATAGATTATATCTCCAACAATTTTATTTTTAAGTATCTCAATGTTAACGTTTATATAAATTAACTTTATTTAAAGCATTAATTATATAAGGCATAAAATAATTATTGTTTATATATTTGTTAATGGTATATTATTTTAGTCTGCTACTTTGCATTTTAAAATGGTTTTAAAATATTTAACAGCTAATTCTATGAAATAAACCTTAAAATGAAATTGTTTTTCTTTGTTGTGATTTGATATTTTGATATTTCTGCAGAAAAGCCACATCTATAACAATTGTACCACTAAAACTTTGTATCTCTCTTTTCTTTTTTTAGTGCTGGAATTGGAAGGACTGGGGTTCTTATTACTATGGAAACTGCCATGTGTCTCATTGAATGCAATCAACCAATTTATCCATTGGATATTGTAAGAACAATGAGAGATCAAAGAGCCATGATGATCCAAACACCCGTAAGCACATACACTTCATATGTACACGTATGTCTTAAACATGGTGGATCTTGTTACCAATCTTCATTCATTAGTATCTTTTTTTTCTTGCACACAGACAGACAAACATACATACATGACAGGGTACTACATTGTAGCCCAGGCTGGCCTAGGACTTACTATGTAGCCCAGGCTGGGCTCCAACTCCTCAGCTTCCTGACAAATATGTGTCATAAATTACACTTTCATCCTTTTCATTCTTACTCTCCTCAAACTTTCAGAACTTTGCTTCAGTCTCCCAAGGGTTAGAATATGAGTGAGCCCCTTCGCCTGAGCTAGCTTGCTTGTCTCACTTAAGAAAATACCCTGACAGGTAGCATGGTACACACACCTTTAATCCCAGCACTCAGACTCAGGGAAAGGAAGATCTCTGTGAGTTTAAGGGAGGTCAGCCTTCCCTACACAGCAAATTGATGGCAACTTAAATGGTTTCTTTCTTTTTTTAAAAAAAAAAAAAAAAAGATTGAACATATATTTTCAGTTTCTTTTCTAGTTTATCTTTTGAATTAGATTTTTCTGGAAGTAAGATTGCTTGATCCAAAGGTAAAATAATACCATTTTATTAGATGCTTTCAAATTTCTGTTTATAGTTTTAGTGTTTTAACATTCCTACCAGCAGCATCTTGAGTTTTGCCAACAACGTATAAAGTGAGAAGCTTTTTTTATTTTTGTTTTTGTTTTTTTTTTTTTTTAACTTTTTGCCCATCTGTTGGTTAAAAAAAAAAAAAATTGTACTGGTCAGTGGTGGCGCACACCTTTGATCTCAGCACTTGGAAGGCAGAGGCAGGCAGATCTCTGAGTTTGAGACCAACCTGATCTACAGAGCGAGTTCCAGGACAGGCTCCAAAGCTACACAGACAACCCCTGTCTCGAAAAACAAAACAAAAACAAATTATATCTTGGGCTTTTTTATTGTTTTGTTTTTCTGTTCTTTCTTTCCCTCCTCCTCCTCTTCATTCTTCTTTTTAATAAGCAAGACAAGCGAGGTGTTAGTTTTTGGTTTTCTGGATTTTCTAATGATCCTTGTTTTTCTGTTTGTGTTTTTCAGAGTCAATACAGATTTGTCTGTGAAGCTATTTTGAAAGTATATGAAGAAGGCTTTGTTAAACCTTTAACACCACCATCAAATAAATAAGAAAACAAAAAAAATGGGATAAGTATTGGGAAACTAATTTTTGTTATATTCGCTGTGCCATAATACTGCTTGCAGGCAATGGCGTCTCCCATAAAAAAGAGAACTGAAACAAACTTTGAAAACTTCAGCACTATTGCACTTTATGTTTAAAGAGTCACTCAGAACCTATAACTCGTGTGTCTGACTATTCTGTGCTTCGCTCTGAACAAATAGTGGGGACTGACTATGTTCAGGGTAATTTATGGACTTTCGGGGTGGCGCCATGCTGTCCCCTCTGGTGGAATTGTCCCGGACAAGGCTCAGAATTCTCATCTCTGTCACACACCTGTACCCTGAAAGCAAAAAGGAGGAACCATCAGGAGACTGCTCTGGTCTTTTCCAGTGGTTCCTGTACTTACTCTACTGATTACCAGATTTTATGTCTCCAACGTTAGCAATACCGTTCTCAACATTAGCCAGTACACTGCCTGTGGATGCAGCACAGCCTCCCTGACATCCCAGTAGGGACCTGCTGTTGAGAAGAGAAGTGGGGCACGCTGTCCCCAGGAAATGCTGCACAGTGCCCATTTACCAGCATCCTACAGAAACTGTATCCATGAGTCTATGGCTTCTCTTGGATTTAATAATGTAACTTATATTTATCATAAGGTTGGCTTATTCCAAATCATGTGATTTCACATTCTTGATGTAAAGGAATGCATGCATCGTGTCTTAACCCCTTAAGTGCCTTGAATCATCTTTGTCTAATGAAAAGGCACTCATTTGACCCCATAGGAGCTTTGCATACTGTACATTCTTATAGTTTTATGGATTTTTAATAAGTTCACGGTGTAAAAAATCTTCTTATGCTGAGAGTTATACAAAGAAGGGTAAGGAAATTCTGTTTCTTACCCAGTGCTTGCTTTTACTTTGCCATAAAAGCCAGGATATCTGTGTTCTGCTGAGAGTGTATTCTGCTGCTATGGAATTGTTCACAGTCTGTACATTCCTTTACTGAAGAACAGGGGTTAAAGTTCAGCAGCTTAACTTAAGAAGAGGGCTTATTCTTCAAATTTCATATTTACTTTACCCCTAACTTAAAAAGTGATGTTTAACAGGCACATTAGAGATAAGGGTATCAACGCTCTAAGCTACAGTTACAAAGTTAATTAGTTGGGTTTATTGCTGTCTATAACTGAAGTATTTCCCTCCAGCACTCATTCCAGTTCATATCAGGCTGTCTTCACATTGGTGTTTCTCCCCCCCCCCCCAGGGAGTGTTTTGTTGTGTTTTGTTTGGTTGTTTGGTTGGTTGGTTGGTTGGTTGGTTGGTTGGTTGGTTGGTTGGTTTTGGGTTTTTTTCCCCAAGACAGAGTTTCTCTGTGTAACAGTCCTGGCTATCCTGGAACTCGCTCCATAGACCAGGCTGGCCTTGAACTCACAGAGATCTGCCTGCCTCTGTCTCCCTAGTGCTGGAATTAAAGGTGTGTGCTACTACCGCCTGGCCACACTATTCTTTTCATTGGAATTCTTCAGACAAGAACTTAAATACTATTGACTTCTTCCAAATGGGACTCCCAAAATAGTAAAATGTAGGTTTTCTTGTCATTTTTGTATACAATTACATTATGTAATTTATATATGCCTATTAAATTATAAGCATGTTTAGTGAGGCTTTTGTCCATCTTGCCTGAAGATTCAACTCCTATTACAGATGTGTACATTTTCTGTGTCAGCTTCATCTGTTTTTAACTCTATGGAGACGGATCTTTAAAATTGCCCAGTTTAATGTGAGAATTTGCTTACCTACTCAAATGATATTTTATATGGGTATAGTTAAAATAGGCATATTTCCTAGTGGTTTCAGAATATTTCTGTAGTCTTGATAAAACATAGATTCCAATACTAGGTATTATGGAGGACAGCTATTTAATTGGAGGGTGACATACATTTAAAAATCTTAAGTAAAATCTAAATTATGATCCACATATTCAGAATCCATGATAGTAAAACTCTGAAGTTAAGCTCTGAAACATTAATGGCCAGAGTGCCAAATAAATTGTCATTTACAAATATTTTCAGTCTTAATTTTTTAAAGAGAGACATAAACATAATCTTTATGTCAAACAGAAGTCCTCCTATTCTGACTTCACATGCAAGACAATATAAGACAGAGAAAATAGTTACACTCAAACATTCCATCCTCTACTGGGGCAACTGTAATTTAGGCTAGTAGGATATTATCAGTTAAAAAGGGAAATCAAGTTGGAGAGCTATACATTATAGAGCTACTTTATTTCATTGATGGACTTTAGTTTAAATTTTAAATGTCTGCGCTTGCCGGGTGGATAGGATGTGACAACCACAGGCAAATAGAGAAAAGCTATGTAGAAGTTAAAAGGCACGATTCACTTGCTCTTTAATTTACACCTTTGCTCACACCTCTGTAGTTAACACTGGTGTTGGCAATGAGCACTGCTGCCTTTTAGATCATTGATGCCTGTCATTAAGTGACAAGTGCAGACTTAAATTTAAATTTCTCATCTGAGAACTGTCCTCTATCAGTATTTTACATGTAAAAACAGTCCTTTGAGAACATTTGTTAGGATCTTAAGCTAAAATTACCCTTAACAAATTGTTAATATGGATATGCTAATTAAACTCTCCTAGTTATCTAACATATAACACTGTCCTTTACACCTAAGTATTTAATCAGTTTATTAATCTAAATAGATTTCTAGAAATAATGATAGTTTTCATAGCCAAGTAGTGCTAGACTTCATACACACTGATGTAATATTGTGTGACAGAGAACAAATTTCTTGAATTAAACTACTTCTCCATTTCACTAGCCACGCTTAGACTCAAATCCTGACAAACAGAAGAAAGAATGCACTTATTCTGACAAGTGAAAATTAATATTGGTGAATCAGGGGCTTTTGTACATGCTAAAAAGTAAATGTGAAAATGTTCCCTCTCTGAATTTAGATGATTTTTCTGTGCTACTTTCAAATGTTTTATTGAGCATCGTCAGCACTGTCTAAATACTTGTAGTAATATTTTGGTATAGTGTTTGCATTCACTTGTGAAACTAACCCACCATTCAAAACTGAAGCAGAATAAACAGCCCCCCCCAAATCTTTTGTGTAGCCTATTGGGGCAAGTAATTGGGAAAGGACAATAATTGATCATTTTGACCTAAGAATAAAGATAACATTGTGTAAAAATTGCACAAAGTTATGCTGAGCCATTGAGACAGTTACTTGAAGGTTTTGGGTACTACTGTGCATGCCTTCATAGAAAAACATCAGTGCACTGGTGTGCATGTGTACTTCCTAAAGATGCATCCAGAGTCTGAACCTACTTTAACCATGGGGTTGTTTATATCTCTTGGCAGATCTTGACCAAGTCTAATTTGTTATTTAAGGAAAAAAATCTCGTCTCACTGGAAGTGGTACTACACGGGAGTCTATAAGAAGTTGAAAGGTCTTTGTCTAGTCTCTAATTCCTTATGGTAGGAAGGACCAGAGAGCCAGCAATTAATTTAATAGAATCTGGTCATCTTTAAGTTTTCTAATTCTCAATCTAGTGTTGCTGTATTCGATTAAAACTTCAGTAAATTGTGAATATATGATAAATGCTTGTTAATTTTATTTCTGCCTGGGAAGCATGTTCAGTATTGTCACTTTGAAACTTTGAAATTTGAAAATAGGCTTCAAAAGTGATGCCAACTAGGACTTGGGTCGAATTTGCTAGTTGTGCTTCCCTAATAGATGAATATAAGCTGTTGTGAAGTATTTAGGCTGATACACATACAGTAGGCAAACTGAACTGCAAGTAGGAAGGCAGTTTTAAAGCACTTAAAACATAGAACTGAGATTTAGAACTTATATCTACTTGCAAAATTATTTATATTTATAATGTGAACATGTGCTAAAATGGAAGTATGGCTTTGTTTATCAGGAAGAGAGAAGGAAACAATTTATAGCAATATGGTATCTAATGTTTGTGCTTTGAATATTTAAAATACTCTGATGGTAAAGTTGCCAAAGTAGTTTTGAATTCATGTAAGTTGTTTATACCACAATAATGTGGACTATGTTTACAGGCTCTTTATAGTACTTATTTTGTAGTTCTGATGAATTTGTATTTAAGTCATTTATAGTAAATATGTGATGATAAATATTTGCTGGAATAAACATCTCAGTAATATAGCAAACCATATCTAAATGATTCCACAGTCTGCTTTCATACAAGGTGCTGCATCCACAAAGCAAGTACTTAATGTTAACATTGCTCACGTCCCACATTTGCACCAACCATCCAACTGTCATTCCTGGGGCCATTTGTGGTGCTTCCTCCAAGTAAAACAGCCGGTATTATCTTATCCGTGGATTGAATTTATCAAATATTTAGAATTACTGATCTTTTGACAGATACTCATTTGTGTCTCAGTGTGATTAAAAAAAATTGTAGTGAATTTTGTGAAATTCTTACGAGAATTTTATATATATATATATATATGTATATATATATATATAAATTTACATCATCTTAACTTTTGAGGGCTAATTGCTAATAGATAATTTCATCAATTTGAAGGGTACAAGAAATCAATCCCAAAATTATATTTTTTTTGGGCTCTGCTTTTTACTGCAATTCTTACTTTTCAAGAATTTCATTTACTCTTAGTAGCAGTTACTATAATAAACCCTCCTATGTTAACAGAAATAGCAACCCTTGTATTCTAGCCCCTAATTGCTTTGTTTTCATGCCCTACGTGAATTTGTTTTGAGTACATACCATACAGTTACTTTGTTTCCATATGTAAGTGTGATGCTGCTTCTTTCAAGTTTTTCTACTATGGTATACTGTTGATTTCTAAAGTTACTGTTTATTTTTTAGCCCTCCAAAGCTAAATGGGCAGCCATTAGTGATAGCTGCTTGTGACAGCAGTCGGTCTATATTAGCTAGGTATGGTTCAGTACATAAATAAACAAGTAAGCCAGTAGTACTTTTTTTTCAGAATGTTATTAGCAATATTGCAAGTTAAAAACTACACTGTTATGGAAGAGTTCAAAGGTTTAGCTTTCTGGAACCTTGT